TTTAATGACCATACTTATTTCCAAGGCAAATTTTACTTACACTGCAGACACACAGTAGTTAGTGTGTCTAAGCTATGAGGATCCTTACTGAAAGTATTCTTTCCTCTCAGATAGAAATACCTAGGTGCCATGGAATTACTGTCTCAGTTTTTCCAGTTTTCTGACCTGTGATACCTGTTATACCTTAATAGGTATAACATTAAGAAAATAAAAGTTTTCACTCACACAGAACCTGTGGTGGTAATTTTTAAGTGTTTGTATAGGGGATTTTTAAGATACGAAATTGACAAATCAGCCAAAACACAAGCATAATCTTTCCTTTATAACCTTTCCCATATATTCCTCCACAAATCCATCTGAATTGAACGTGCTGGGAAAGGATGTTGTCTTTCTCCTCTAATGTACAGTGAAATTGCTGTCCTGTGTAATATAAACAGCATTTAACATTTGATTTAGTTCTATGAATGTGATTAGTGCTTTGTAGACGTTGCAAGGATTCCCAGATTAGATACAAGAAAGTATCTGCACGAGAGGAAAGAGGTGTTATACATAAACCCACACAATCTACCTCAACTAGGTAAGCCAAAATTTCATGAGATATGATCACAGGCTTTCTTTTTCCTCCCCAGGAAATGCACTAATAGACTATTTGTGTACAATCCCAAGAAAGGAGACTGGAGAGACCTGGCTCCAATGAAAGTGCCTCGCTCGATGTTTGGAACGGCGATCCATAAGGGCAAGATTGTCATTGCAGGTGGTGTCACCGAGGAAGGCCTTACTGCATCTGTTGAAGCTTTTGATCTGACCACCAATAAGTGAGTGCAATATTCAAGCTATTTTAAGGAAGTGTTTTATCATCGAGGCTTTAGGAGCTCCAAAGTCACAAAGGTGTTCAGGTACCTGTACTCCCACTGAGACATTTGGTCTACAATCACATCTTTAGCAACAACAGCAGCAGTTTTCTCTGGCCATTTTTCCCGCCCCACATGCATTTGTCAGCACAGCTACATTGCAAACATGCTCACCACCCTCTTTTTTTTTTTTAAGTCTGATTACTTTCCCAATTTAGTTGACCCCACAGCACATAAACAGGTGTGGTGCCATAATAGGGAAGAAGTGGGAGAATGAGCAAGGGCGGTGCAGTCTAGTTGAAATAGCACTGGCAATAAATGTGAAACCCCGGCAAGAGAAATCGGGTGCTTGAAGAGGACCAGCTCAATGTCCTTCAGGTACTTGGCCTTGTGATGTCTTGCTGTTCACTTACCTTGTCGCAGCAAATGCCATTTACCACTGATTAGTGACATACTTATTTAATGTGAAAACTCCAGGAAGACTTCAAATGTATGTGCATGCTCTGAAATACTATATAGAAAGAGTAATGACAAAAGAGAGTAAGTCATACCTGAAATTAGCTCACTTATTTGGTCTATATACTTTCCAATACTATTCTACACAGCCAGAATCTTTTGCAGTCAGCATCCATCAAATGTTTGATTTTCTAGGTGTTTATACCCTCTGCATATGTCTTTCTAATCTTAATTTTCTTTTTTTTGTTACTTTCATTACTTTTCCTTTCTATCACCTTCCTTACAAACCTTCATTTCAAATAGTATCAGTAAAACTCTATTATGACAGCTCAAACTTGTAAGTGGTCCTGAATGCACCTTTATCTTAATAAGCACTTCTGCTGTATATTAACACATTTGCCTGTGCTGTCTTCACTGACATGTGGCATTGCAGCCTTCAACCTCATAACAAAAGCATTAACTTAAATGTATGCTATCCCAAAGAGACTTGCTTCTAAAATTTAACATTACAAAACGTGCATTATACAAGAAGTAATTACATGAGGGAACTTCTAACTTTACTTCTTCTATAGAAAGCAAAGTGAAGGTTGTTACCATGATGTCTGGCACATTCTCCTCTTCCATTGTTCAGAAATATGCAGCTCATGGTCTGAAAAATCTGCAGGTTCTTGTCTTGGTTTACTCTATTTTGTTACAGTCAAGTCACACAAGCAAAAAAGAAAAATTTGCCTATTAATTTTAATGTTGAGATTATCCAGAAGTGGGATGTTTGTGTGTTTCATATGTTCATAGGTGTGAATTGGCAGAAAAATTGAAGTTGTACTAATGAGCACCAGTGATTATTTTTTTTGCTCAAATTATTATGCCAATGCTACTTGAATATGCATTTTGTAAACTATAGGGAAAAATGAGAATAACTGGGGAACAATGTATCTGTATGAAGTATATTACTGATGATGGCACCAGGGAACCTGTAAGAAGTGGTCTCTGGGTCGTCACAGTGTAATTGTGTCATTTAAGACCTGCAGAAGTCCCTGTGGGGATGGAGACACTGAAACTTACTGCTAATAAATCTCAGAAATTTTTCCTTTTACTAACCATTCACTCAAGTAGCCTTCGTTCCTGAATTTGTGTCACTCAGAGGAGTATCTTAGTGCATTCAGTTTACAATACTTCTCACATGTTTAAAGTTGAGTTTTTCTTTTCATCTTTAGGTGGGAGGTTATGCCTGAATTTCCCCAAGAGAGAAGTTCCATCAGTTTAGTCACCTTAAGCGGAGCTTTGTATGCTATTGGAGGCTTTGCAATGATTCAGCTTGAATCTAAAGAATTTGCACCTAGTGAAGTCACTGACATATGGAAGTAAGTTTGATTTTAGTCACACTTTCCTGGTGGAAACTGAGGTTTGTAGACAATGGAGGTTAAATGATCCATAGCACAGGTTGTAAAGCACTTGTTGAGGGATAAAAAAAGTTTCTCAGACAGTAACAAATAAACATGAGACTTGGATCAGATGAGTACTTCCACCTACTAATCATTTGACCAGTATGAGTCATGATCTTCAGTTTCTTTAAAAGAGTAAGTTGCCATATCACTTGGCAGGTTTAGCCTTGCCAATAAAAACATTCTTATGATATTCTTATGCAGAAAAGCATGTATACACAGTAGCTTGTACATACTGATGTGTTAATAGTCAAATGAGTAACTGTTCCAAGAGAATCGGAATTTCGTATCTCCTAGATTTTTTTAACCTAATCACAGTGTCAGTGATAAAACATCATTTCTCTGCTGAGACTCTTCAGTTGTTAATGTAAATTCAGAAATTTCAATTGGCAGTAGGAAGGATTCCCCCCAAAAAACAACTTCATATGCAAGAATCTGAAGAAATTGAGAAGGGATACTTAATACAAAGAGGAAGCTTTATACAAGTAATTAAAGCATGACAGAGCCAGCAACAAACTTTAGGGACCAGGAAAAGGACAACTCATGCACAAGAACACCTTTCTGTTCTGATCTAGAGGACAAAAGCAGCCTTCTGTGGCATCCTTTAGCACATGGCTGCTACAAGCCTTTGCAGCAGGTGCACTATCCTCCTTTTCATGTATGTGTGCTGAAGCATGAAACTAAGAAGCTATTTTCTAACCTTATTTTTTTAAATGCAGGTATGATGATGAAAAGAAGGAATGGATTGGCATACTGAAAGAGATCCGATATGCTACCGGAGCCTCCTGCCTGGCTACACGCTTAAACCTCTTCAAGTTATCAAAATTGTAAACAAAATGCTGGAAGATATGATATGGTGAGGGAGTTTCAGAAGGCTCTTCTGGTTTTGTTGCATGAAAATGTCCCCAAATGGTACAGTTTTATAACAGCGTGCTAATTATACTGGGAACTGTTAAATAGTTCATTTGTCTGTCAACATCTTAAGATATTTACTAGTTAACCAGCAACCACTGAATTTTTGCCAGTGTTTAAAATCCTGAAGAGCTCTAATTAACGTTGATTAGAATAGATTAAGATTTCGGCAAGGACTCCATTTTTCACACTGTGAAATTGCAAATAAAACCAGTTAGACTTCCTTGTACTCCAACAATCCAGGATATTGGTGGCTTACCCTTCACACAATGCCCATTAATTAACTGTTAAGTTAAATACAACTAATAAGTAGCTAGTTTTATTCTAACTGGTGGTTTGTATAGCCGGATTTCCCCTTTCAGCAGCATATGTCAATCCGGCATTCTTCAGCAATATCTTGGAAATATTTTCATCACAGCCCTCAAAAATATAATTTAGCCTGTAATTGAAATGCATGTTAAAAACAAAAGGGACTTAATACTATGTGGCCTAATAAATGCCAGTCTACAGCCAAAGCTGTACTAGTAGCCAGACTTGAGGGAAGAGAGAGAAGTTCACAAGGTTAATAGCTCTAATGTTTCACCTACTATGTTTAGGCTTCTAGTAACAAGGATTTTCGACTTTTTTTATGCTTTTATATTTATTTCCAAAGCAAAGATTTTATGGAAGTTTTTCTCAGAGATCTGAGGCTGATAACAAGCATTCATAAAAAAGTCCAAGAAGAGTTGATAATCAGTAAATACCTATGACAGAGAGGACTTTTTCATCTAATAAAGAGTTGATGCATTTTGACATTGAAAACTTTTAACAATTAAACTTTGTTTTTAAAATTATAAAAGTATCACTTGATGGTGTCTTTTTTAGCGATCAGCTCATCATCACTACCATATTGACAGGACACAGATTTCTTAGTACAGCCTTTGCCCAAAACAGAGCACTCAGTTTTCTTCAAGTAGAGTATCTCCTCAAAGGATTTCTCCACTGAATAAAGAGGGTGTCATAATCTAAAGAATTTCATAAATATAAATCTAATTACAACTGATGTAGCAGGAAAACTGGAAGAGAAGCCCACGATACCTGACTGAATGGCAATTCCAACTATCAAATGACCCCTAGCATTGCCTTCCTAGGAGACAGAAGTAAACATATGGCAAAGGCGCAGCCATCATAGCTCATTTCAGTATGTTACTGTCTGCCAGTACTTAACTGTGGAACATCTTTTCTGTTTACCCCTTTAGTACCCAAATCTTCTGCTATTCTTAGCACCTTTTCATTGGCTCCAGTTAGATCACTCCTCTAACACTTGCTGATTTAATTTAGAAAGAATGACTGCAAATGATCAAAGACAACACATTTTATTGAAATACTCTTATAGTTTGCTTTTCTTCGATGCCCTTTCTGAATCCACTCATAGCAAGTTTTAATCCTCTTCCCATTGTGCGTACTCATAACTTTATCCATACATAATCTGAAGATAGCTGGCTTGGCACAGTGACTGCTAGAACTCTGAAAAGCGGGGTTCAGCTCAAACACATGACCACCCATGACTGAACATTTAAGCCACTGCCACCTTTCTTAGACTCCAAGGTTGCTTCATGAAGGCCATCTATACAGAAACAGGGTCATGCAACAGCCCTTTGACATGTAGCCCACCTTCTGAGATACTAACCTATATTTATGATTGTTTTCTCCATTTTATACAAAATAGAATGTGCATAGAGTCTTTCTATGTGCTGTCCCTTCAATGATACTTCCTCAAAGCTCTCTTCCTCTCCATCTCAGAGCCCTTGTCCATTTATTACCCTAAGTGTTTAGACAACCATCTACTAGTTTTTTCAGTCATCTCACAAATGTGAGGGCTGCCTCAGCAGGAAAGTACCTTGCAGCCTAGATCAGTTCTGTTGTTTTTTCCTGAATTTCCATTCCTGTCCTGATTTGTATGCAGTAAATAAAAATATTTTCTTCTGCTACTGAATAGTAAAAACAAAAAAAGTGACAGCAGATGCATAATGGCCAATTCAGAAATGCAGTTGCTTACCTCTGCCAGGTTTCAAGTAAGTGGTAAAAGAATGTCTACTGCTTCTACTAAATGAGGAAGAAAACACAGCCACATTGTGTAAGTGAAGGACAGGCAGAGCAAGCAGTCATGAGATGATGGCAGCCGTGGGCACAATGTGGCTGCCTCTGAAAACAGGCTGATCTGTCAAGTATGACCACTCTACAGTTTGCTCTACAATGAACATTCTGCTGCCTATTCCGTTTTTCCTTCTACATCTCAGTGTCTTGTGCCTCCTGCACAAACCCTGGCAGGGTTTTTAGGTATCTGGAGGTGTTCCAGGAGGCTCAGACATACTTTTGTATGCGCCACATCACAGGGTAGGAGAAGCAGCTGGAGGTTCCTCGCCACGCAACACCCTCCCCCAGCACTCCCCGCAGTACCTCTGTTCTGGGAGATGGAAACTGAATGGCTCTAAAAGCAGCCCTATGCTTAGTCAATTTGCACTTCAGTTTCTTGGTTTCAGAGTACAGATACTGTTTGATTCCCAGCTGCTCATTCTGTCTTATGCTGGAGGACAGATGTAGTTTTCAATAGATTGCTGACACTTCTCTCACAGTCAAGAGTATTTCCAACTTTTTCTTTGGAGAGTTTTATGTCTGGCTAAGCCTCTGTACTATTTATTTAGGAGATGATAATGTAATTTTACAGCAAAACTGCCAGAGCTTCATGTGATTAAACAATAGCTTCCAGATAATAGGAAATTATAAGCATCCATATTGGATCTTCATGGCCCACTATGACCTGCCTTTTGCAATCCCTCTACACTTGATGCCCGTGGCAAGCCTTGGTCCAGCTGACTCACAGATAAAGAGATTTTTGAAACTATGTATTCCAGGATTACAAAACGTTTGGTGGTACATAAAATGTTTTTATAGAAGTACTTTAGACTGCATGTCTGACATCACTGTATTCCATACAGCTGCTGTCTCAGGTATTCTAGCTGTTCACCTTTTGTTGACAGAACCATAGAATTCCATTCAAAGTGAGGAATCTGTAGAACAGAATCATACAAACTGAGTGTTAGCACTGGTGTAAGACACATACCATTCACAGCAAAGGCTCTCTGATATCTCTTGTTCTCCACTTGAAGATATTTGATGACCTGTGTCCCTCCAAAAGCTAGGCTTGCTCTAATGTGGGAACGAGTTAAGCCAGCAGCACCTGCACTCAGTTAATTAGAATCAAAAGGGAGTATTTCAGTCTTGGAGCTGAGAAGGAATGTGTGAATCAAAACACTGAGTTTGCAAAAAGCCCTGGGAATTCTGGTTACCTGAATGACAACAGCAGGTGCTGTTTACCAAAGAACCCTAATGAAGGGGAAATGCAGAGAGAGCTCTGGGGAGAATCCTGAAAACCAAATCATGGTGTGTGTGCAGCCTCATTTCTTCATCGTCTCTATTTGGTGACCCCGACGTGATGTGCGTTATGGGAGTTTTCAACGACCACGACCCGACGGGGGTAACGGAGTTAGTTCTGCCTGGGAAAGGTCTGTCTCCACTTGAATTCATTGGCCGCACTCTAATATTGACAAGATCCATTTCTCAGTATAAGATTCTTCTTTATGTAAGTACAGTCAGTTTGTTGCCAAAAAGCAGCATAGTTGCAGAAATGTAAAACAGATGCCCACACAGTATAGGCTGTGATAACTCCATTACACCATCTCCCACTTTTAAAATCCGAATTGAGAGAAAAATCCCAGGTCACTGTAGATTTTAATGTTAAATCTATTAGACTGGAATAGTGTAGCAGTAGTATAACATGAGAAAAGATGATTATTCTGTTTCAAAGAAACAAGAAAACCAACCAAATTTAAGCTAAAAGAAGGATTCTGGCTAAAATTAGGGTAGGTGAGTAATTAAATATACAGGAGCCTCCAAATTCATGAGCCTCCATTACCAAAATGTTTCATTGCTGATGGTTGTGAATTATCACTGGCCACTAGTGTTCCCTGTCACAGCGCCATCACTGCAGCAGACAAACAGCATCCCTATCCCATCTGGCAGCTGCCAAAACTGGCACTCAAAACTCGAGGGTATGTTCAATCATCTTCTAGTGTAGAAATCTTTAGTGAATTGAACTGAAACTCATTTCACTTGTTCTCCTTTACTCAGGCTACATTGACATAGCTAGTTTGCCTGCAGTAACGTAAGACTGAGACCTTTTGACTTCAGTTTTGCTTCAGCCTCTTTGCAAGTCTCTTTTGCTTCAGCCTCTATGAAGTCCATTTTGAGAACAGCTTGGAATTTCCTCCCTAAATACAAAAATTGCTCTCACCCAGTAGATGCTTTTAACTATAAAAACTGTCTCTAAACCTGTTGCATGGAAAATGGATCATTTTTCACTATGGATGCAACTCTGAAAGGACAAAGTATTGCTGGATGCTCACCTGAACTACCCGGTATCCCAGCATTTCCAGGTGTCGTTTTTTCACTGCAGGTTCTCCTTTCAGATGACGTGAATAATCTTTGCTAAAAGCTCTTGAATCAAGAAATTCCAAAGCAATTCTGCAAACAGCAAAGACGTGCATTTACTTTCAGGTCCTACCTGAATAGCAAGAAGTGATATTTCTAGTTCAGTATTGATAGCTGCAGCAAGACAAGATAAACCTGACAATTCACAGAAAAAGAAAATTAAACAACTCCCTGAAACCAGACAAAACATTTTCCTCTTATTTATCTAGAGATACTTGAATTTTACGTGATTTAGAAAAAGCATTTTTTTCCCAGCATCTGTTTTTGCTAAAATGGTAAAAACAGTTAACTAACATTTTCAAGGCCTACATTTGAAGAGATGGGAGGGAAAGAGTTCTCCAATCTCATGAAACACATTTCAAGAACATATACTGGATCTGGCTGGGATGAAGGTACTTTTCTTCATGACAGTTCATCTGGTGCTGTGTTTTGAACTTGTGACCAAAACGGTGTTAATAACACACCAATATTTTGGCTATCGCTGAAGAGCTATTGCTTGCACAGCATCAAGACTTTCTGTTTCTCACTCTGCACCCACAGTGCATATAGGCTGCACGGACAAGAGGTCAGGAAGGGACACCTTCCATGGGAGGGAACCTCAACTGGCTAAGGCGATATTCCACACCATACAACATCATGCTCAGCAATAAAACAGAGGGAAGTTTTTCCCAAGTAGCCACTGCTCTGCCACTGGGCTGCTGGTGGTGAATGATTGCATGTGCATCAATTGTTTTGTTTTCTCCTTTTATATTTTTCCTTTCTTCTCTTCACTCATTAAACTGTCTTAATTGCAACCCAGGAGTTTTCTTCCTTGCTTTTACCCTCAAGATTCTGTCCCCCATCACACTGCAAGGGAATGAGCGTATAACTGTGTTACACGCTGTGGCCGACCCGCCACACCCTGGAAGGCTAAACCTCATTAGGCTTAGGAAAAAGGAACTGAAAAATAAATAGCATAAGAGTTGCAACAAATATTTAGGACATAAGCATCAAAAACCTGGCCTGAACTTGGAAGCTTGGGAGAGCTAACGTGCAAGAATTCAATGCACTAACCTCTGAGCTCCTGGTGGCAGAGCCTTTCTCCCTTCATCTTTGATATCATGTCTCAAGTGTATTCCCCCCACATCATCCAAAGGTATATTCTGAGCCATGTAGGAAAGAGGCTTTTTATTTTCATCCAGGACACACTCAAAATCTGTCAGAAAACACAGCAAACCTGTTTACTGACTAAAGTGAAAGAATTCGATCTGTAGAGTGTTTACTTCTAGAAGAACTAAGTGATAGCCAAAATTAGAGATATCCAACATTATTTATATTATACAGAACTTTTTAGAAACTGTATTTTACACAACAATTTCTTCTTTGCAATATCTTGTGGCAACATGATCACAGGCTTCCTAATCTTGGTAATAACAATCTTAAGAGTATTAACTTCTCACCTATTTCATAGTAGTATGGTGTGAGAACAGATATCCTGGAGTACTGGCTCCCTCCTAAGATCTCTGTCAGCATTCTGTGAACATGCTGTCGCAGTGGATTTATTCGGCTCACGCCTACAAAGACAAAATAAAGAATTCATACATCAAAACTTCCACAGCCAAAATTCTGAAAAGAGCACTTTGAGACATTGCATTTTTGACAGCCAGCCTATTGAATCAAATCTTTTCCACAGATCCCTGGTGCTATTCCATCATAATTCGGAGACCAAGTGATTATATTTTAGGTGGAAAGTAGCAGGTGCGTGCTACTGAGCATAAATTTCAAATCCAGACTTTCCATCCAAGGATATTGCTGATTCACATGCTACAAAAACTTTAGTTAGAGGTTTTACCTGTTGGATTTTGTTTGCTTTTAATCATGTTTAGACACTTAAGATTTACTCATCTTGCCTTTATTACAGGTACACCACACTATCTGTCACTTCTTTGTCTGTTGCAGATTAACACCTTGCTCCAAAACATCTTCAGTCTCTGAGAGACAAAGTAGCTGAGTTCTCTGGACAGCAAAGCAGATCTCCCCATGTGAATTAGTGGATATTCCTTGCATTAGCTGGATTTTCTGAATTCATCACTATTCTGAAAGATCTCAGCTGCTACACTGATCACTAGCCTACTTCTCTATCTCTCATTTCTGATGGATCTTGATTCTTCTGAGGAAGAAGGCAGGAGCAAGTTCAAAAACAAGCAGTAGAAATGTTCATATTGAAAAATTTAAGTCAAGCGTTCAGTCTTGTAGGTGAAGTAGGGAGCAAAGTGACCCATATCCTCCAGGAGACAATCCTAATGATCCTCCTCCTGCCTTTCCATCCTTCATGCCATATACGTTGTTTCTGTCTATTTAAATTTTATTCCTTAGAAGGAAAAATCCCATCTCTATTACAATTATTATCACAAGGAAAACTGCTTTGCTCTCTGTCGCACTGCTGAGCGGTTGCACTTTCCAAGACATGCTCAGCTGAGAGTGGGTTGCACCATCCTGATCTTCTGTGGTGTGGTAGTGTCAACCAGACAGTTTTAGAAGAAATATCTAGTAGATTGTTGAAAATAGGCTATTATTAGAAACAAGGGCAGGTTTCCCTCTCTTAAGTTACTTACTGTTATGAAAGACACGTTGACAGTACTGCTCATGAAACCAAGGGATGTGAAACTCCGGGCATTCCAGACAGACCGCTCTGTTCAATTTCATGAGGCGAGAGCAGACCCTCTGCTTTAGGGTATCAGGCAGGACTGATTAAAAAAAACACAAACAAACATACAAAGGTGTAAACTGCAATGTGAAAAATCCAACCTATGGACCTAAATGGCTGCCTCTGAATTCTTTACTAGAAATGCAAGTGTCTGTATACTATGGCATTTATAAAATACATTTATAAAATCCCTGAGGAAAAAATGAAAAGTAACAGTTCTACTCAATGATAAGAACAACAGCAAGACAGAAGGTAGAAAATGCTTCTATCATTTAACTTTTAATTATGTACTTGAAGGCAAAATGGCAACAATACATTGATAGCGAACAATGTACAGGTAGAGAGGGATGAAATAAACAGTCTCTTATTTAGAGAGAAGAGACTGGTAGGACACATTTCTTGCAGGCAAGAATCCCACATTATTTCTTGAGCTTTGTGACTCTTTCTAGTAATAAACACCAGAGTCAGGTAATTTTATTTCCAATAAAATTGAAGAATTATTATATACTGAGTACAATAAGTTGACTATAAAATTTGCCTTATATGACCTTTTCTCATCTGCAATACAGATGAGAAAATCTGTGCTTTGTTTTGAAAGTACAGACTTTTCTTCATTCCTTCCCTTTTAGTACTCAAATCATAACTAGATTATATAGAGGGGGTCTTTCTAGAAAATGGAATAATTTAAAGAGTAATGTCATAGGTAGGTCCACAATTGCATTTTATGTCAAATGTTACACAATCAAATTCATCAGAGAGCTAGATATCTACCTTTAAGTTGAGCATCCAGTTTGCTTAGGAAAGAAACATTAAATATCGTTGTTATCAGAACTGGAGGAAAATACCCAGCCACTGCCAAAACGTGACCAAGCAGCACCAAGTGATAAATTTCAAAATAACCTTTAAAAAACAGACAGAAATACATATTAACACATGACATAAAGTTGAAAGGATTTGCAGTGCCCTTCTCCTGGCCTCCCAAATTGTCTAATTTTCTCCCTTAACGTACTATACAAGTTTCTACACACTTCCTCTACAACTTTAACCATTTATTTGTGATGAATCACAAAATGTATCCTGTTCACAAATGACGATTCCTTGGGGAGCACCGCAACAATTCTATCCAATAGCAGCACAGTGAATTAACCAGAATTTTCACTTGCTTTTTACTACACTAAAATTTTTTTGCTAGTCCCTTGTTAACAGTAATTTTTAAAGGGTGAAATGAAACCCAGCATTGAATCTTTGTAATGGTTTATCCCCAGTAGGCAGAGTATTAGTAGTAACATACATACTTTTTCTTTGCTTAACAAAAGTGTCATTCTATTCCTATTTTCATTCAATAAAAATAATAACTTTCAGTGACATTTATTTGGTGTCAGAATATCTTTGTCTAATGCACTTACTCAAGTCAGAAGTAAGATGTTGGATACAACTCTTAAAGAACTCTTCATTGTCATAATTCAAAGCAGAGAAAAGTAAAAGAATAAAATAGATTTCGGAGGAGTGGATCTGGAAAAAAAGACATCCAAAATCAAGTCACTGCAATACATCATAACATTGCTTTACAATAAAGAAGAGTTTTACACTTCATTCAGAATTGGGAGATTTAAGACTAGATGAGCTATCTTCTAATTTTTTTTGTCAACTATTCCAGGAGGAAACAATAGAAAAATAAAATGCAGAAAAAATTGAATCTACAGCAACAGCTAAAACTTAAGATGTATTTCACATAGATGATCCAAGTGTTTCTATATACTTAAAGAACCTTTCAAAAAGATTTTGCATTAAATGCTCTTAAAGAAACTAAACTGCAATAGCATAAAATCAAAGATTTATATGAACACCAGACTGAGAACGAGGAGGAAAAAAAGATAGTAAGAAAAAAGAGTAATTTTGACCAAAAAGACAGGCTACTGGGGAAACCCCCACAACAATGAGTAATGTTAAAATACACACCAGCTGATGTGGCTATTTATAATGAAGTTTAAAAAAAAAATTTAAGATGGTACACTGAGGAAAACCCTTAGAAACAGTGTGGATTGTGCTCTGAAACACATCAACACATGAACCTCTCCTTTTCTACTGAATAACTCACATAGTAGATAAAAAGAAAAGCTCTAATACCTTGTCTATATTTTCAACAGTCACAGAAGCTATTCTGTCAAATAAGGCAGGACAACGGTGGTTTGTTTTTTTGAGAAAAAAAGACAGCGGTAATACATTTGTCCATGTTATTTGGTCTATCAAGCGTTGACACATGGCCACAGTTTCCTCATTCAGGACTTCTTCAAACCACTCTCCATTCACATGTGTAAGTTCTTCCAACAGAAGATTTAAGCTGTTGGTTTTCTGAAGCCTCTCAAATCCACAGTCATTTAGTTTTTGCAGAAGCTTTGCACATAGCTCAGAACTGTTTTGCCAGTGCAACTGGTCATGATGATTCCATTTGACAAGAGCTGTAGCAATGCAATTCAAATGATGGAGACTGCATTGAGGCAGAACTGCTGCTGCTTTGTTTGTAATCATCTCCTCCACTTGAAAAGAAGGTAGCATGGCCAGAACACGAATTATGGCTGCAGTATCAGCAGGTATCACACTAGATTTTAAATAACTGGAAGAAAGGTGGAAATAAAAATAGTCCATCAGTAATGACAAAGTGTAAGTGTTTAAAAACCCAAATAAATTACATGCATGAAAATCCTAATTTAGAAGTCAAAAGCTGCATATCAAATATAAAATAAGTAGAATATTAATGACGTGGTAGAAATTCACGCTGTTAGGAACTACCATTTTTTAAAATTAAGATTAACTTCTAATTTATTCAAAACTGAAAAAAGGGAAGAAGACAGCAAGCAGCTCAGTCAGCTGGAGAGGCTTTAAATGTTACTGATAAACACAGAAGTCCTTATTAAGACCAGAAGGTCCACATTTGTTAAGGGTGTCTGTGGGTTTCTGGGCCTGGTTCATTTCTCTGACTTCTGTCTTAGGGAGCACCAGTTTCTGAGGTGCTTGAGGAACATGAAGGAATGATCAGCAAAAAATAGTACAGCCAAGGCACTACATTCCTATAGAGGCTGAGCAATGGAAACAAGATCTCTTCTCCAGTAATTCCAGAAACTGTTTCCCTTTCTGCTGCAACTGTACAAGCCTAAGAACTAACTGGACAGTTCTTCAATCAAAAGTAAAGTACTTCTGCTTCACACTTTCACTTATTCCAACCAAGGCATTCTTACTGCCTATTTTTCATTACTTCTTCCATCAAACATCAAAGACGACATTAATACCTGCGCTCCCAATAAAAAAAAAATCAAAATTTCCTGTCATTTCAATATTGCAATGACCAAAGGAATAAGGGACAAAAAATATTTTTGAAAGGTATCATATCTATTCGAAAATACCGTTGGGTCTATAAACAAGACAACAATCACTTCCTATCCTCTGATTTAGGTGTTTAAAAGAATCAAATATTGTAACAGTTTGTTACTTCTTCATATTTTATGGAAACAAAACACTTTAACATCTTAGCTTGTAATTTGAAATCTTAAGTAGAGAACTGTTTAATACTTAAATAGCTACATTTCCAAGAATACACGCTTACCCTAATAGTAACATCTTCAGTTTGGCAAACAGCTCCAGATTGCGGCATCGCAACCACGTCAAGTACTGTGTTAACTTCACCAGCTGTAACACATGATAACTATCCAAGTGTTTGTGCAGAACAGAAGCCATTCTGAATACAAAGAGAAAAGATTACATGGTGTTACGCTAATACAAAAGATACTGCAAACTCCAACATCCCACATGAAGAAAGGGTGTCCTGTGATGCACAGTATGTATATATGGAGGGTTTCACACACCTCTACTCCTCTCCACACCAGTTTTGACACTGTTCCCCAAAGACACAGTAGCCTCTCTCCATTTAGTGAACTGCGAAATTAAAACCCTCATCACAGCAAATCAGCTACTTCACACTAATAAGTTCTGTTTCAGATTTCACAAGCAGTTAAATTTAAAGTGGACCAAGAATGGAATAAACTAGAACAACAACACCAGCTTCAGCACCACTGCACTCACTGTTGGTCTAAGGCTGCAAAGAGGGGGATAGATTTGTAGGGAAAGATAATACCTTAAGACCTTCTTCAGACAGTGAGATTCAAGGAGAAAAGGCATGAATTCACCTCTAGTATTCCTTTGATCCATAGTACACAAGTATGTCCTTTTTCTTCCAAGGATCTATTTGGTTCATGCAACTACCTTCAATCCAGTTATTGCTCAGGACCTGTACTTAACTCTGCTGCATCTCTGATGTATCTAATGCTACATCTTCTGTGCCCAAAACATCAGCTGCTTTCCCCTTCATTGTATGATAGATATTACCTCTCCTTACAAACAATGTTCAGTTTACAACTGCAGAAAATGTGGACATGTTCTCTTTTTCTCCTGAGTTTACAGTAACTGTTAGGGGCTAAGTTTACTGAAATGGGATCACATATTTGCAAATAAGCCAGATATAATATGACATTAACTTGGTAGGGTTGAAATGCTTTTCAATGAAATTCCTAAATTTCCTCAATTACTTCTGGGTCAAGCTGCAATATTCTAAAATCTGTATTACCTAATTATTTATAGTGTAGATGCATTTGTGTGCAAGTGACACACCCTCCACTCCTCACTTACTGGGTATTACACAGTTTTCCACACTAAATGGAAGTAGTTTACCTAGAGAATACACCTTCTTAGTAGTATCAAAAAAATTACTTTTCAAGTAGATGAGAATTTCTGCATTTCATTTTCTGCATTGTCTTCAGTATCACCAACACCTGGTGACTGTTAAATTCTTCTGCCATGTGTGCTGCAGTTACTAGCAACCTAAAGAGGAAAAGACATATTTTCCAATGAAAAACGGATTAAAATCTCCAGCAAAGACTGCAGCAATTTTCTTTGTCTATGAGGGAAAGAACCAAAAGACTGCTTCAGGAAATACAGGAAAACAAATTCCCTCAAACTAGAGACTTTTCTTCTCTGGACTTTTCTTCTAAACAGCTAATCTGTATAGCACAGGTAAAGGGGTGTGAGTGTGTTGGATCAGTGCATATTGTTCTGACACTAGAAACCAGTGACTCCAACAATTCTAAAAGTAGACAAGAAGTAGGGAAGATACTTTAAGACACTAAACAATTCATGATCAATCAGGAAGCTACAGATAACAGAATCAAACATGAACTGAAGTGGTTCTGGGGCAGTTAAAAAGCCAGTGTTTACCACAAATTAAATAAATAAATAATCTAGGAAAAGCTTTTGGAACTAAGTCAGCTATGGCAAATACCAACACAGGCTTGCAGTATATCCAAATCTCTGAACAGAGGCAGATGTTCATGAAAGTATGAAAATACGACTCATTGTAATAAATAAAGCAAATTCTGCCTAAAACTACAGACTTTGAGAGACCCATGAGTAACACCACCCCAAGTAGGATTTTGTGGCACAATAAAAAAAAGTCTGTCACATAATACTCTAATTGCTAAATAAATGCCAAAGTGTTCCCTGCTGAAGACCTTTCATGAAGAACAGGATGTCAGCAATCTGGTATAGGACAAGACTCAGGCTGTTTCAGCTACTGCCAGTCTTAAAAAGGAAAAAGCAACACATACCCCTGCACATATGTCTCAGGGAAAAGACAGCAAGCTTTTTACTACCATCCCCTTTGAAAGGAAGGCTGTGTAGTCTAAGAGACAGAGCTACAAGATAGTCTTGCATAACAGCATTCACATATCACTTGATTGCTAGATCTAGCTTTCTATGCAACTGTCTCAAAACAAACTGCTTTGACAATGTTTCTATAGTTAAATCATCCATTGCTACAAAGTTACAACCAGGAAACCTAAGGCTCAGCTCACAGATGGACTCAGAAGCTCCTCCAAACATTAACACATTTTTAATTTCTGTGCAAGAAAATATATATCATAAATAAGACAAAATCAGTAATAAACTTACCTTTCTCTTACCGTGGATCCTGCCATAGGCCCAAGAACAAAAAATAATTTTGCAAAGGTTTCAGGATTGTAATAATCATCTATAGTTTCAGACAGTAGCTTGTTAGCAACCAAGCGGAATTCAGCATTGTCAAAACCCAGCTGCTCGTACAGTCCAAAAATACTACTAATACTGTGGATATCAAGACAGGAGGCACTTTTAAGAAAAATCCTGTTGCATTTTTCTAGCAACGGATGATATTTCAGTTTAACATTTTGAAGAAACTGTAGCATTCTTTTGGCATAGTTGAAGTGGCCTTCATTCTCTTCTTCCAAGAGCTGTTCAGCCTTGTGTAGTAATCGATCTCGAAAACTCTGTGAGATAACATCAGATATGCTGACCATCAAAACTGACAGGATCCTAAAAAATTCAAGATTTTACACTTACATATTGAACATAATAAGCAATAAATTCTAGATTTCCTAAATAAACTACACAAAGAAAGGAATGGTAGTCAAGGTGCTGCTGGCTTCTGCGCAAAAAGGAATTTTAAATCTAATGCAGAAAAAATAGATGAGCAAAAACCATTTATCCTTCTACAGTAAAAATTCTGCTTTCAGTGAACTTCTGAAACAATTGGGATTTTTCAGCCTTCCCTAACAAAGCTGCATGTGATAAAAGCATTTGCCCAAGGCAGGAGTCTGATTTGCCTGATTCAAATTTGCAAAAAGATCTCTAATGCTCAATAGACACCAAAGAAACTCAAACAATTCTCAAGAGACAGAATGGGGAGAAGAGTCATTGTCACTCCTAAAGAAAGAATCCTTTCCTAAGGGAATAAAACTTATGACCACAGGGAGAGTCACTTCTGTAAAGAAATGGAGTCCCATTCAATGAGTTTCATATGCAGGTTCCTCACATCTGCAAAAATAAGTGTTGGCACTGCTAATGCTGTATAAAACAGAAAAAAAGAAAGAGAAGCCTTTACTATAATGGCCCAGAGGGAACAGAGGCAAGAAAAAAGAAGCTTGGACTTCTTTGACTAGCGCTGTGTTTTAAGTAGTTTTAATATTAGGGTTATATGCTGGACATGCTAGCAAGAGAATTCATTAATTCAGCTTGACCAGAAAAAAAAAATACTCTGAAAATAAATAAACACAACATTGCTTTTAAACTTCTTATTGCTATTCACAATAGCTAACTAAATCCATGTCATAGTAGAGAAATTATCAATGTCAGGGAAGAAAAACATCTTCTGGTGAGTCAATAGCCTCTAAATTATCAAAAAGTCCATGTTAAATTTAGAATCAGGACAAAGCTCATTCAAAATGCCTGCTATATTATTCTACTGTAAGTAAAACAGTGGAAATTAATTAAATCTTTATAACCTATCTAAGCAATCAAACAGTAGTTTTAGTTGTTTAGATTGGTTATAAAGAAATCCTTCGTAAAATCATTGGGAAAATGCATTCACCCGTCAAACAACACATGAAAACAAAACACTTCTTTCCCACAAACTCCAAACTGAAGAAAAGCAACCTCCAACTGAGGAAAAAAGGAAAGGGTTCAGGAAAGGCAGCACGGTAATCGTGACATATTGCTTCTCCTGCTCCTCAGCTTCATTCTGACACTTACCTTACATCCTGTATAGAATCCAGTTTCATGTCCACAATATGAGCTACTTGGCCAATTATGGGATTGAAATGCCTGTGTTGCTTGTATAAGCACAGTGTGAATTTAGATAAAGCTGGCAAACTAAGCCTGTCAAGACATTAAAGACAGACAGAAAGAATATTTACCTTTTATTTCTAGGGAATAACTAAGGACAAAAATCTACTTCAACAATCATATAAAAAGCAAGGGTATATTCAAATTACAAAACAAGGAAACAAAATACCTAGATGTTTAATATTAAAGCATGTTGTGCATATGGAACTCTACAAAAATCAATTGTTCTTCACTTAGCCAGCCTAATAAAGATTATGTTCTCAAGCAATGATGTGAAATACATAAAATGAATGTGAGCAATTTATTATCTGAATATCACTTTGTGTTCAAGCTACACTGTATTAATTTACCTGTCAAGAAGCCCCACGTGTTAAGCTGAAAGAGGCAATTCTGTGGTGCTGGTGCCAAGGCTGACACCAGCTTCTGCCATTACCCTGAGATTACAGAATGAAAACTACAATATCCAAAAAAAAAGAAATCAAACCAAGACAACAAAACCAACAACAAAATGCACAAAGGGAAAATGCTGTTTTAATACAAAATGTTTTTACTAAATTGAGAGGAGCAGGCTTCTAACAACCATTTATGAGTTGGACAGCAAGCACCAAGATAAAATTGTAAATATTAAAACTTGCAATTTCCTTCGAACACATAAATCTCCACAGAGATTATTTTTCAAAACTTTAAATGTTGGTCCCTGTTGTTGCTGCATCTGAATCTCTCATGCATTCGTGTACCAAAGTCTGTATGTATAATTTCCAAAACCTTCAAAAACACAACTGACATTTAAAATACTCATATTATGTCTTAAACATACATACTCTTTGAGAACTCTTGTGTAACCTCACATGAAGTAAATCATGCTTGCAACGTACACCTTTCACAAAGCACAGCAATACAGTACTTGCCTTTCTAATCTTTTCCATGCTTCTGTAACAAATGTTTCTGCTAGAGAATCATGGTCTTCAACATTGAGCCTTCAAAAGAAAGACATAATAGTTTGAAGCTTGCTCCCATAGTTACAATGAAATAAGACATATGTCCTTTCATTATTTACCATGTTTTACTTTTCCATGGCTCCCTCCATTCAAACAGATTATAAACATTTGTGCATTAATAACTCATAACAATCATAAAACATATTTACTGGGACTGGAAAACAGATCTGTCCTACCTGCATCTCAAAAACTGAAGCATAGGACATTACACCATCTGTGTCACACAGAGTACGGAAACTGTGACAGGGCAGTCTCCCAATCTCCTTATAGTATGGCTCTGTAGTCAAAATTCCCTCTCTTTTTATTACCAAATACAATATATATATACACGGAATTCAATTTAATGCTCTTTACCTCAGAATACTATATAAGGTGTCCACTATGGCCTCATCTTCCATGTGTTTCACCTTGTTTTCTGCCAAAACGCAAAGGGTAAGAAACTGGGAGTGATTTTTTACATAGTCAGTAGTCCTTAAGAGAAACGGCCTCTTCTTTTGCAATCGCCACAGCATGTTTAATGCAATTCCCACATGCTTTTCAGAAAGTCTGGCCTTGTTCCTTCCAACAAGGCTAAACACTTCATCTTCATGGGTGCAACTATTTATCTGGCTCAAAAGCAGATCACTACACAGAGTCCGAGCTTGGACACGTCTCAGTGTAAACAAGCAAACCTGCCTCAAACAAAGCATTTTGCTATGCCTACCAGCTATCTTTAAAATGCCCAGAAAGATTCTTCTTCCAGTTTTCACAGTAAATCATGTTGTTACAAACAACAAACTCAAGTGTTTGAAAAACAGAAGACCATTTTTCTTTGATCCCATATGGTCACTGTATTAAGAAGAATTCAATTCCGAGGTACCTGTAACAAGACCATATTAAAGCAGTTAAGTACAGTCACAACAAGTAGGTAAAAATCAATGTCACTACATTATAATGTTCTGAGTAAGGTAAGCTTGAGAAGAACCTACAGCCTGGTATCTTCGCATAGAAAAACCCCTAACAGTGAACACTGACATGCTCACAAGTACTATGAAGTTAGTCCACTTGGTAAGCTTTCAAATTTAGAAACCTGCCTTTAAAAGCCACATGTGCTATCATGCTACTACTGAGAAGGCAAAGCTGAACTTTCTAACATGCCAGCACTGTATGACTAAGTGAGCCTTGTTCTCACTAAGCCACTCCATAATGCCAAACTGGGGTTCAAGAACTGCCAGAAAATACAACTATTGGTGGTAAAAGGAAGTAAGATGGCTTCTAGTCAGGAAGGTTGACCACCTTTGTAATACAGACTATTGAACAGTCACACACTCAGCTGAAATCACCTATTGTGCAAAAGAAAAGCAACCTAATTCCCCAAATTACAGTGGAAGCTACAGCTTTATCTATTGAAATTTGGTATTAATTGGTTTCCTTAGAATACACCCAAGTTTGTTCAAAGGGCTAACAACTATGTACTCTACAACCTACAAAACTGGTTTCAAGCTGGGGAACACAAACCACTGGTGATAAATGTCCTGGTACACTAAAAAAGACCCATCAAATTCCCTCAACTCAGAGAGCATGGTAAAGTCTTGAAGTCTTGTTTTAGGAGATATAATCACTAACAACAAAAATTATCAATACCTTCGGCAAATTTGAATGTTCTTCAACTGTTCACATGATTCCATCAGTGTAACGTTATCAAGGTGGTGGCAGCAGCACACACTGAGGAAGAAAAAACCTTATTTGAGCGGTCTATGTAAGGTACTGAAATCATTCTAGAAAGTTGGATATAGGTGGATTTCTTTTGATGTTTGTACAATCCACTTCAGAGAACAAAAATCATTTAACATATTGTACTACACTGCTGTTGCTGGCACTGGGGCAGATACAAGGAAAGCTAAAATGAAGTAATTTTAATTTATGATCTGTTATAATATGAAATGTTTTCTTCCCTATGCAAAATGAAAGCACACAAAAATAAAAGGTACAAATTTTCCAGATATTACGTATTAAGTACCTTTTATAATAATGATTTGCTTTATAGTCCCTTTTCAGATATTGCTTTTATTACTTCTATTTGTTCCATATGGTAGTTGCCTTTACAAATAATTTAGTTCCCACAGTGCTGGCAAGCTAAACTGCAAGAAGTCAGGATGAAGTAAGCCCCCAGGTAAGACATCTTTTCCCGCTCTGCAACGGAACTTACATCCTCTATCCTATTGATGGGCAAACAGGATCTCTATCTAAAACACTCCATAGGAAGTTTCCAAATCTTTCTCTTTCTGGAAGTTATTGAGCTGATGCAAGTGATTTACCACACACTTGTATGCAATTTTAAATTGTAGTTAATTCTACTATCCTTTCAAAAGTACATGAATAGAAAACATCGGATGTTTTCAAACTTACAAATACATAGACTAAACCCAGGAAATTTGGATCTACTTAAAGAACTATTTCTAAGATGTTCCACTTACCACGCAATGTAATACACTTGAAGGGAAAAATGTCTCTAAAATAATTTTCTAACAGTTGAAACACAATAAGCACTTTCAAGGCCGTATTACAAAAATACAGTAAGCCAGGAAATCTTCCACAAAGGGGAAAATGTGGACACCCGCCGCTCCCCACGCATAAGAACTATTAGAGATTTAAGTAACTAAGCCGTAAGATAGGTGCTTGTGCAGCACAGGGTGTTTTTCCCCCGCCTGCCGCGGGCAGCTCAGCCCCGCAGGCCCCGGGGACCAGCGCCGGCCCCTCCCGTCCTGGGCCGCGCGCCGCCCGCTGCCACCTGCGCGCCGCCTTCTTCCTTCCCGCGGGGAATTCTGACCCAAAAGCGTTTAGGAAGAGCGTGGGAAAGGGCTAAGCCGCCGCGCAGGCCTCAGGCCGGCGGTGGCAGGGGCGGGGGCGGCCAAGGCCCCACTGCCCCCCCGCAGGCGGGGCGCGACCCTCGGTGTCGGACTCGGGTCCCGCCTCTGACACCGCTCTCACGGCGCCAGTCTCCGGTCGGCCGCGGGCACCGCCGGCGGTGGCCGCTGAGGGCCAGCCCGCGAACCCCTGCGCGCCTGCGGCACCGGGCGGCACCGGGCGGCACCGGGCGGCACCGGGCGGGCGGGCGGGCGCGGGGCGGCAGCCGCTGCCAGCGAGGGCTGCGGGCACGGCAAGGTCCAGCTCCCCCCGGCGTTAAACAAGAAAGCAAAGGAGTCAGGGTCACCGGCGCAACTTTTGAGACCTCCCCGCCTCCGAAGAACACAATCCGAGGAGCTCTCAGCTTACCCTTCCCCAGGACCCTCCTGCATTGGAGCCGCCGGCGGACGCCACTCAGCCCGAACACGCCGCAGCGCTCCACGTGCCTCTGCACTGTCACCCAGCGTGCGCATGCCCCAGGACAGACCGTTTCCCGGGAGTTGCTGCCGGGAAGCGTAGGGAGAAAGGGGAAAGTCCAGCCAGTTAGACTACTCAAAGGAAATAAAAATAATAGTTAAAAAGTCCCAAGGTCGTATTGATTATTGAGGTCATATTTATGAAACCAGCGCTACAATGATTTTATAACGCGTTCTGAGTGGGAAAAAAAAGTCTTCCCCGCCTAGAAAAAGCACAAAGGGACTGAAGTTCAGGAAGGGTGAAGTTGAAGAGTTTGGCTTCGTTGTACTGGAATTAATGTTACTTTATTTTACAATATAATTTTTTAATGCTTTGCAACAAAGATTAATTTTAAATGTATGAGTTCTAGAACACAAATATGTTGCAACAAGTAGGTTGCTTATGTTGTATACACATAGCTCCAGGTCATCTTTCTGGACCTTTTCTCACTGCTATTGATAATAGCAGAGACATTTAGAATGAATGATAACAATCTCAGATTGCTCTAAATTTTTATCTAAAATCATAACCAGGACTGTTACCATGACCAACTCTGACCAGCTGTTTTGCAGCTGTCTATATTAAGGGTTTGGGGTTTCTACTTTTTGTCTGTTGCTGACTGTATATATACCTCCTAATATATTGGATGCATATGAATATGGAACTCACTGAAACTAATAAAATAGCCCCTATTTTATTTATTACAAGGTCTGTGGTGTTTTAGAAAAACAGCAGGTTCATTTTTTAACTGGATTTGTAACTAGAATTTGTAACTGGAACAGCTCCTGTATCCTTCTGCTAACACATCCAGATCATCTCAGCTACAGTCTACAGAACCAAACCCTGTCAGGTGATCTCAAAGGGTGGCATTTATCTCTTTCAAGAATCTCAGGCCTTCTGCAAACTCACATAAGAATTCTAAGGCATCTGACCCCTCAGCTGCATAGGAAAACAATTCCACATTCATATGAAGGCAACTTGACTTGTCAAGTACATGTGGATAAAATAAAACAATGTCTAAACAAAATACAAAAGGCTAGATAAAATTACATTAAATTTTAAGTTGAAGCCAGTGTTGATTCACTGAACAGAAGTTCACTCACCACTTTCTTCAGGACTTCAGAACTCTCAGGGGTCAATTTTCAATTTCTCAATTTTACTTTTTCTTTTTTTCAGATGTCCATAAGGGGAACATTAGTTTTTCCGGTTTCAAGAATTTTCTCAACAGCCAGTCAAGTAACTTCCATTACTTCCTGTTATATCTGATTACTGACCCGATTCTCCACTGGCTTGCATTAAAACCTAGCAAAGGAGGTACATACTTCTGTGCAAGTCTTGGTTAATCTTGAAGGTGCTCGCAACTTTATGCATTGTTGTAAACTTTCACGTCCCTATTTTAAGATATATTAACTTTGAATGGCAATACAGACATACGGGGTAAGATTATCAGTAACTTTTTTTTCCCCACAGTTGGCCTAAATTCCTATTTTAATTCTTAACAATCCCTACCGAGGTGCACTGCTGGAGGAACCCTGAGCACTTCCAGCGTCGTGCCGGGCGCTTCATTTACCAACCCTTGGCCATTTCCCGGGCTTCTCGCTGGGGCGCCGGCAGGGACGACCAGCACTGTTCCCGAGCACGTTTGGCTGGAAAGGCCCCGCGTAGCTGCAGCCGCTCCAGCCTCACCGGCCCTTCCCGCCCCGAGCCCAGCCGGGCCCCGGGCGGCGGGGCCGGCGGGAGGGGCGGAGCGCCGCTGACGAGCCCGAGGAGGCGGGCATCCTCTCCCTTCGCCGCTCCCGCTTCTTGCGAGCGGCCCCCGCTGCCTCCGGGCAGCGCTGTGCCGTCACCGCGACCCCCGCACCGTCCCGGGGCCGGGCCGCCACCCCTCCCGCCGCCGCTCCCCTGCCCGCCCCCGCCGTTCCGCCCCCGGCCGCCGCTCCCGCCCTGCCCGCCACTGACGCAGCCGTGCCGCACCAGCTCAACATGGCGGCGGCGCGGCGCTGAGCGGCGCAGGGCGACAAGGGCCGCCAGGGGTGAGTGCCGCCAGCGCCGGGGCCGGCGCGCCACAGGCGGGGGCGCGCCCGAGGGGGAACGGCGGCCCAGGCCGCGCTGGGGGCTGGGCGGGCGGGCGGCGGAGGAGGAGGTCATAGTGCCGCGGGGCCTGAGCCTCGGTCTCGGCGCGGGTGGGAGCCCCGGCCCCTCCCGGGCCGGCCGGCGCGAGGGGCGGGCGAGGGGCAGCCGCGGCCGCCCGCACTGGCTCCGCGCACATTCTCCTCGCAAGGCCCCGCGGCCCGGGCCTGAGGGGCGGGAGGGCCGCGGCGCATCCCGGGGGAGGCGGCCGCTGGGAGGGAAGGGGTGTGAGGAGCTGCGAGCGGGGCCCAGGCAGGCGGGAGCGGCAGCGGCGGACGGGGCCTGGCGCGCATCGCCGGGGGTCGGGTCCGCCAGGCTGGCTGTGCCTCCCCGCTGCCCGGCGAGCCGCGGGTCTGTGCCCGCTGCGAGCGCCCTGCTCGGCCTCGAGTGCTGCTGGGGAGTTTGAATGAGTCCTCCCTCCTCCCCTAGACTGGGAAGGAACCGACCGGGCTGTCTGCGCGCCACATGTTCTCCTCCCCTCTGCAGGCCTCTCCTAGGGAAGTGGAGCCTGCAGGAGCTACCCTGGTTGGCAGGAGAGTCCTCTGCCTCTCTCTTTCAGGGGTTTCCTAAGGCACTTCAGAGACTTTTGACTATTGAGTTTCAGGCTCAGTTTGTTTGCAGCCATGACCAAAATAAGGTGCTGCCTATATATGATTGTATTTAGAGGCACTGAGGAGGCTTTGAAAGAGGCTTAGGAGAAAAAGAAATAGTTTTTTGAAACTATGGACAGAATATTTATTGCAACATTAAACGTTGCCTTTCAGTTCAGTCACAATTACAAAATTTATCAGTAATGATAAAAAAAGTAACTTTGGCCAGTAGTTGCCTAATGTTTGACTGGTTAAGCTAATTATATTTTAGTAATCATCTGAGAGCTGTTTTAAAAGAAACATGAGACCATTTTCTTTGCATAAAGTCTATTTTCTAAGATGTATCTTTTCTTCTGAGAGAATAGTTTGGTTTTTTCGTGGTTTTGCTTTATATTGCTTGCAGAAGAGGCTGTTCTTTGGACAGTGATAAATGTTTCTAGGTTGATTGTTTTGCAGTTTTTTTTCTTTTTCCCCCCCCTTTTGTTTCACTATTCCGATTCATTAATGCATTGGGGTCCAGTATGACTCAAAGTTTTAGATGCTACCATGATAAAAATGTGGTAGCAATATGGAAGTTACACATGCTTTATGAAGCATTAGTTTATCTAAACTCACAGAGCTTGATTTATCAGTTTTTAAAAATGATTTCTAAATATTTCAGAAATACTGTAATTTCCTGTATATGAAGTAGATCTGAAGGGGAGCATGAAAAGGATACCAGCATCAATAGTTCTCTGAGAGCACCCTTTGGTGTGCCACTATATTTCTTATTAAAACTTCCCATTTTTCCAGTCCTCTTCTGTGAAACAAATACTATTTTTTTAATTAACTAGCACTCCTCAAGCTGTTATCAAAAGAAGATTTTTTTTTTTTTCCCCTGGGAGCATCTCAGAAAATCTGTAGATTATGAGGGAATTTGGAGTGAAGAATATGTACTGCAGTGGAGAATTTTACTGTGCTGTAACATGTTTTCTCCACTACCAGTTCACTCCTCCATGCTATGTGCATTTGGGAGCCATCTTCCATTTAGGAGCAGAGTCAGTGAGTGCCAGGGAAAAAGTCTGACCATCTCCTAATGCACTGAGGTTTAGATAGGAGGGTGTGATGAGGCATAGAAGAGATCTAGAGCTAGAGAAGTAGAGAAGGGAGGAGAACATGAGAATAAAAAATGATAGAACAAGCTTTTTGTGGTTATGGTTGACAAATACGGAACAGCATTCAGAACTATGTCCTACTGTTGCATGGTTGTCTTGCCTTATTGTCATTTTCAGTAATGGGTAGGAAGGGATTCCACTGCTGAAATTAGTTTGGGATTTACGTGGCTTGGAGATTCTACCCTGTGAAATCTTTTTTTCCCCCCTTTCATACAATGCAAAAACTTGCCTTTTCATAGCACTTTATAAGTTGTGCTAAAAAAAAAAGTACTTATTTGTGCACAGACCTGACAGAAAACACCAGTATTTTTTCACAAATCATAACAGAGAAAAAACAATACCTTCTGCATAAATTAAATAATGTAAAATTACTGCTAAGACTTGACAACTCAGATTTTTACTTGCTGGTGATAAGAATGTGGTTAGATATTTCAACATTTTTTATTGCAGTTACCTCTTTTCTAGAAAAATAAAGGGGACATTCCAGTAGGAACCTGTATTTCTCTTTAGATAGTTTAAGAGAATGTTACTGCCTTCTCAACTGAATCCTACCCTCTCCCAGCTGAGGTGTTATAACTGAGTGTTCATTCCTTTTACTTTAGTACAAGAAGACTAAAGTCCTGTTCATAAGTGTAAAAAATCATACTGAAAGTGATACAAATGAGCTACCAGTGTGGTAGTGTTAGGGCTGTATTCAGGACCTATCTAAGGATGATATTTTCTTAAGTCTCCCTAGAAGGATAGCTGGCTATTGCCTCGTGTCCATGGAAGGCAGTGTTTGATATTGCCAGGTGTCTCTTAATTTGACTTGTTTTTTAGAGGGAAACAAATACTATGTCAGTCACCCAAAACAGACTTGTAGCATTTTTCTAGACAAGAGAGGCCTGATGGAAAGTGATGTCAATCACTTTTTGCTTGCAAGAATGTTGAAAATCCATTTTGTGGTTGGCTTTTCTTGGAAGGGGCAGTCAAGTTGAAACCTATAATGTGTGATTTCTAGTGATGAGTGGAAAGTCTTCCTGCATAAATTTCATAGAACTGTGTAGAAAGCAAATGTTTTCTTCTTTTCTTATTAATGTGTTACATTCATGTGATTACAAAGACAGTACTACAAAGTGTAGTACCTTATTTCTAAATATGCTGACAACAAAAATCCTGTGCTGCTGATTAGTAAAATGAAAAAAAACCCCTTAATTTCCTCAGATGTCATTGCTGCTAATGTAGAGGTTTTGGATCATGAAGTACAGAGGAAAAGATGGTGGTGTTTGGGGAAAAGTGCTGAGGAAATTATGAAGTTTGAGAGTTGGGCTGGTTGGGTTTTTGTTGTTCACGTCTTCGGTATCATCCTAATACAGCTGGATGCTCTGTCCCAGGAATGGAGCTGTGAACAAATTTTCATGTCTCCCATTTTGCAGTCATAAATTCATTTCCAGTTGAATCCATACTGGAATGAACATACAACATTTTTAGACTGTGCCTCTGCCATCACTTTAAGCTGATATATGCTGCTACCAAATCTTTCCTTGGAGGGGGGAAGAAAGGGTAGTCTTTATGCAGCCAGGTAGCTTGTATGAAAGCTAAACACATGGATGTAGGAGCCCTCTGTTCTGGTTTCAGCCCAGATTTATATTGTCTTCAAGTGACTGCAACCACAGCCTTAAAGAATGTGATATATGTTCGGTATTCACTTCGTGCATTTGCATTTTCTGAACTCAAAGTTTTGCTTACAGATATATTTCTGGAGATTCTACATTCTATCTTTGAAATATATATCAATGTAGTTTTGTCTTCCTGCATTTGTAGATGGTCTGAAACAAAATGCTAGGAATATGAATTTATGCACTTTATTGTTCACTTCATTTGGACATGGAATGAAGGCAAGTGCAGAAGATAATTGTAAGTTGATGCAAGGAAGCGCATACAAGAGCAAGGTCAAGGAGAAGTTAAAAATCTGGAATAACTGATGATGACAGGGAAAGAAGGGAAGGAATAGGACACAGTATGTAATTTTCCTACTAAATACATATTTTCTCACTGTTCTGTCCTGTCCTGGGACTGAAACAAATAAGTAGTCCCATGACCTGTTCAACAGAGTAACAAATAAAGTTGTTTTTTTCCCCTTGTAAAACTAGGAAATACTCATGTTTTGCTGCTTGCTGACAGCTCTTGTGGGATGCATGACACATCGATACTTCACTTAGTGTGCCTCTGTGAGTGTTTTCTAGCCTGTTCAGTCAAAAGGTTCTAGTATATATTTAGCGGTATTATTACTAGATCCTTGCTAGCACAGGTGATTTTGGAAAAAAAAAATCCCTAAGGTGTTTTTTTTTTTAAGCATGTCAATGCACATCAGTGATAATCCCTAGCAGAAAGATGCTTATGAACAGTTTGGGATAGTTATGTTTTTCCACTGACATAGATAATTTTGAAGGAGAACAGCTGCTGGCAGCCTGGCCTTGAGTTGGCCAGCTTTATCCTGCAAATAAAATAATGAAGCTGATGGAGGTGTGAAGGGATGTGAACCCTGAGGGACACAGTTGGTGAAACATTGGCTGTGGATGCAGCTGAAGTATTTTTGGTGTGTTTGTTAACAAATACCAATATGCTCTAATCTGAACTGTAATTGTACTTTCAGAAATAAAAGAAACAGGTCTGTTTTGTTAGATATACTGGTGTTCTTGTTGTTTGGTTGGCTTTGGGGTTTTTTTGGTCATAGATTCTACTTAGACTTAGTAAGAGGCTTCTCAAACAGAAGGTGGTTGAGAATGATGAATGGCTTGAAAATTTCAGGATAGTACTTGGGCTGTTACATTATCCTTTCTTACAGAGTTTTGGAAGGAAGAAGCTGACTGATCAAGATTGTCCTTCTGCATAGCTCGTTTTTGAATGTACGTATAGTGAGCATCTCTGGGGTTGATTTCAAGTTCATATTCTGTTCGCTAGTAAAATTCCACCAAGTTCACAAATAAAAAATACAACATACTGAGGGTTAAGAGTATCCACGTTTTAACTGAAAATAAGTTTTTAGTGATAAAGAGCAAAATTCATTTAAGCCCTATTGTTATCAGACGTATAGCACTACTAAGCTTTACTTGTAATTTTCTGACTTCATTCTTGGTATTTTCTGACTTCATTCTTGGTATTTTCTGACTTCATTCTTGGTATTTTCTGACTTCATTCTTGGTATTTTCTTGGTGGTTTTCTTTGTTGGTATTTAACATGTATTTAACATTCCCCTGTACTTGCTTTTAACACAGACAAGTTTCAAATGATCAGTATGTAGATGATTGTGTTTGGTGTTAGATACTGAAATATGAAGAAATGAATAGAAATTAAATTCCCTGTAATGCATCAAGAGAAGGTCTAGCTGGCAGTGCAAAGGATACTTAAGTGTATTGGAGAGGAAATGCTCTCTTGACTTGTAAGGCAGGTAGGATAAATGTCACTGGTATCTTAGCCTGGTTTATAGGCAACATCAGCTCAAGAGTGAGGTATGTTTGCTTGGCCTGGTGTTTGTTCATTCAGGGTTTTCATACTGACCTGTTGACATATCTATCATTTGGAATCGAGTGCAGCCAGTATTTAGGGGATATTACTGGAGGATTTAGGGAAAGTGCAGGGAACATTGGAGGTGATGGTTAGAACATGGGCTAGCTTTATTTGTTCCACTGTTCATGAAACGATGTAGAGGTAGAGAAATATCACATTGAGAAAAGTTGGTGGGAATAAGGACTTGGGTAGAATTCTTTATTTCTGATTTCTCTCTCTCATCCTGTTCTCTACAAAACTGAATTAAAAATTGACTAACATAGGTATATTTATATTTATTTTACAGTTAAGTTTCAGTCATTATCAACGTTTGAAGTAAAAATTGTCACATATTAAGATAGTTGGCATTTATTTTGGCTAAAGTACTGCATATAAGTGTTAAGGCATACCTGAACATTTCTCAAGCAAATTGCTCGTAAACCAGGAATTGAATCACTTCTCAGTCAAGCACAAGAGTTTGGGTACAGGCAATCAATCATTTGTGGTACTGCTGGTCCTTAGATGTCTCAGTTCGGTTAAAACTATCAGTTCTACCACCAAACAATATTTATTGTACCACTTATTCTGAAGGGCTTCCTTGAAAAAAGTATCCCATGCAACTGTATAGTCTGTTCTGCTCCTGACAGTGAGTTGATGGCTGTCCTTTGGACTGGTCTCAGTTCTCAGAGCTCTCTGTTGACTACCACCTGTCTCATCCCTTCCCTTGCCCACACTGCCGCCTTCCTTGCCCTGCCTCAGAGTTCGTGCAGCAGTGTGGTGACCCAGTGAGCCTTCTGCTAACCTGATGACATTGAAGTGCTCAGCTACAGGCATTGTCTCTCTGGTGACAAAATTTGTTGTAATGGGAGAGAAATCCTAATTCTGGGAGAGTACCAAGCAGACTGAGATAAGCCTGCTGCTTTTGACAAATATCTGGTTTGTGTGAATGAATATGCTTGTTACACACCTAGAGGATATATAGTGAGATTCTGCATTTTTTGAAGTCTTCTCTTGCTAAAAATCACATGAATAATTAACTACTGAGTGGTGTTTGCTTTAAACCAGTCCTGCATTGTTCTTGTGATATTTGCTGTGTAATCTTGGCAAAATGTTAGGAGTAACAGCACAAGTAGAGAGAATATAGACTAGCATGATTACACTGCTGTCTTGATTTCTTACAACCTCTTGTTCATAAACTGAGAGTTGACAGATGGTGACAATTGAATTTTTCAAGGCTGTTCTGTGGTACAGCTATGAGTGAAGCTTTAGGAGAGATGTGTACAGTGTGTCAGCTAGACTTGAGCCATGTTTTCTGGCAATAAAAAATAACTAGAACTGAAAATTTATGGATTATATTCTATATTCTGGAAGAAGTACTCCAGTCTTACAGATCCTTTTGCTGTCATTGGTTTTTTTTTCCACTCTGAAGTAACTCAGAGAGGATAGGGATTTAGAAAAGGAAAAGAATATACATGTACATAATGTTGGAAAGCCAGAAATGCAAGTGGAATGAAGGCATAGCTTGTTACACAAAAATAAAGGGATTTATATACTCAAAGATAAGGGAAAAGTTGCATTAAAATTCTTGATAAAGAATCATAGAATCGTTTAGGTTGGAAAAGACCCCTAAGACCATTGGGTCAAAGAGTAAACCCAACAGTACCAAGTCCACCATTAAACCAGGTCCTTAAGCAGCACATCTGCTCATCTTTTAAATATCACCATTGATGGTGTCTCAAAAGAGATAAACAATTACATAAAAGGAAAAGAAACAAGGAAAAGCCAAAATAATTTTACTTAGCAGCAATTCTGGAAGAGCTACACCTTTGGTTTTTTTTCATCTAGAATGGTTTGGGTCCTAACTGGAGCCTGGTAACTGCAGTGACAGGAATCAAGAAGGTATATTCCTAAAAAATTGAATGCTTAAGTCTTACCCATACCTTACAGTATCTTTTCCTTTTGTATTTCCCCATCTGAACTATTGCAATCAAGTTTAAATTTAATGTTAGTGCAGCAAATGTGAATAAAATTGCTTATTTGGGTCTACATAACATGGAAATGACCAAAAATACTTTGCATTCTAAAAAATGCTTGCCTTTGTTGTCTCTCTTTTTGGTGTGTTTTTTTTTTTGGGGGGGTTGGGGCTTTTTTTGCTTTTCTGCAGGTTTTGTTGTCTTTGTAAAGTCTTCTGCATTGACTTACACATAATTTCACTACACAAAAGGAAAAACTAAGTTTTATTTTTATTACTTACAGTATTTAAATTTCTGAAGCCATGGGAGTAAAAGTCCAGAGACCTCGTTGCTTTTTTGACATAGCCATCAACAATGTACCTGGTAAGAAGATGAAAACATCCGTTTAGTAGCATAATAGTCATATAAGATATGTGTAAGAATAATTCAAATACCATTTAACTTCATAATAAATATGGTGTGCTTTTTTTTCTAGCTGGAAGAGTGGTCTTTGAATTGTTTTCAGATGTGTGTCCAAAGACATGTGAAAATTTTCGCTGCCTTTGCACAGGTTTGTAGGTTTTACAATTTAATCTATAATTTTTAATGTAATATCATGTTATCTGGTTTGATGGTTGTTATTTTTCCTGACATTTTCTTACAGATAAAAAGTAGTAAGTTAAGCATTGGTTCTTGCCATCTCCAGAGATTTAGCTGATTTGTCATATACATATGATGTGGAGTCAAAGCCCGTTGTAGCTTTGGCTTAGTGTGTTGCAGGGAGTATGTACTAACCAACTTTAAATACAGGCACAGTAAGCTGATTTTCTGTTACTAGCACAGATATCACTGTTCGCATTATATAACATCATCCAGTCTTGAAAGGTAGCCAGTAAGAGGTCAACCGTGCAGACTTACTTTTCAGTCTTATGTTACTTTGAGGTAACATAAAAAAGTATCGCTGGTATTTGTTAATTGTTTTTTTTCCTTTATTTTAATTTCTTGATGGAAACTGGTGATTTCCAGTCCTATCGAAATTCATTTTATTTCTTGAAGAAAATACTCAAAAGGTTCTCTCCTAGAAGCATTTCCAAACAGAATTATTTTCCTGTAGATTGCATACTTTTGTTGCAAATGCTGATAGTTTAGCAAAACTTATATTTATTATCCCAAGAATAATTTTGTGAATATATAAATAGCATACCTGCTTTCTGTCTTCAGCTTTTTCTGCTTCCTTTCCTTCCAGCTCTGTTATTTTTCAGGTCAAGGGTCTGTTAATAGTGAATCACTCAGCAGTACTAATATGATCTGAATCAGGTGTGGATGCATAATTACATTCATATCAAGTTTACTAAAACATGTAGTGCACTATTTGTGATGTCTGCAGGAATGTAGGTATTATCTGATCTGACATTAGGCTTACTGGCACAAAATCAGATTTTCAAAGTTTGTTAACAAATCTGAACTTTAAAGTGATGATTTTTAATGGTTGTGACTATGTTAGCACATGACCGTGGCATTCTTGATCTGCTCTCAACTACCCAAAAGGCAGATTATTGCATAATGGTGTTATTCCCTGCTACTGCCTTAAGTACTACTAAGTTCATACTTTGTTACTGACATCCATAATCAAATTCAGATCCCAAACTATTTTGCTGCTTTAACACATAAGAATAGTGAGAAAAATATATGGGCAGAATGTTTATGATACTAATCATCAGCAAAATAATTCAGATTTTTTATTTTATTTGCTTTCCTTACTCATCTTTTTTTCTGGCAATTTTGAAAAGCGTGTGCTCTCTTTGTAAAACAGGGTCTGACAGCTCCGTGTTTTCCTGGCATACCTGTGTTAGGCATATGCCAAGTTAGTGGAACATATACAACTTCACATTTATCAGAGTTCCTATCAAAAGTGGGTTTTTCCTAGCTATACAAATCCATATGGAGGCACCACTCCGTTACAGTAAGTTCAGAGGTAACTGCCCATCACAAAAGCTGCCAATTTAGTAGCTCAGGATAAGGTTATAGAAAGATACAGTCTAGTGGTTTGCCAGCACTGAGAGGAAGAGATCTTCCCTGAGAAGGGATCTCCCACTGACTACTGTTACCTTCAGGTTGGCTGTACCGTGCACAGGACCCACCATGAGCCATTCTTGTTGCTAACTCAGCAGAGACTTTGTCTATTTGAGGGTAGCAGGAAGGGAGATAGTGTTGTAGCTGAAGCAGAGAGTCTGCTTAAGCACAGAGCTGATGTGAGGGAGGAAGATGGCAGTTTGTAATCACGAGCAGGGGAGGGAACCAGAGTCCTCCTCCTTCCCCCATCTCTCTGGTTTTGTTACGAGCTTTTATGGTACCTTAACCTTGTTGTGTTGTAACTGAAGATCTGAGTGTTTCATGCATGTTTCTGAGTAATGTCAGTTATAATAAACTTAAACTAGATGTTTAATTTCAGTCAATCTGCATGGAAGAGAGCAGAGTTGTATACTAATGTCAGTAAGGAGTTCTGGTATAACTGTAGAGACAGAAAGTAGTTTCTGCTCTGCTTTCTTAAATGCCAGTTTCTTACAGGTATTACAGGTAGGTGTCTGCCTCACAAGTCAGTTTTTCATAGCTTAGTAGGTGATTTTGATTAAGTGCTTATGTAGCACTTTTTTGTAGTGGAGATTCTACAGACATAGACAGTAATTTTTCGTTTTGTTCATTCTGTTCTCCTTTAGGTGAAAAGGGTACAGGAAAGTCCACCCAAAAGCCATTGCATTACAAAAGTTGTCTGTTTCACAGGGTTGTGAAAGACTTTATGATCCAAGGAGGTGACTTCAGTGAAGGTATGATGTGAATCTTGAAAGGAACCTTGAATGCTTATGGAGTAAAACATTTGCAGAAGTTCTCTGTAGTGTCATTTACTTATATTAATTATTCTGTGATATCACTGCTTTTTTCCCTTTCTTCTGCATAAATCCAAGTTTGCTTTTGGACTACAGAGATGCATCTTGGTCATGTTTGCATATCTTGAAGAATAATGTCAGTGACTTGGATGCAGTTGCATCAACATTTTGTATTACAAAGCACCTTCCACATAACGTGACTCTTTAATCACTGCTTTAACTGTCACTTTTCCTCTTTCAAGGAAATGGCAGGGGAGGAGAATCCATATATGGTGGCTTTTTTGAAGGTAAGGGTTTTATCGATCTACTCTGTTTTAGTATTATGATAATCAATCACCTTTTACATTCTGAAGTCTCTATTCTGTAAACCTGAACTCCATTGTTTGTGTTTTTTAAGCCTTCATCTGGCCTTAGAGGCCTTTGACTCTCCAGTTTTTGTTATTTTATTTTACTTTTAAGATATGAACCTTTTTAATGAATGAAAAATTAAAACTGAACTTCTTTGTATTTGTCCCTCTTGCCAGATTTCTGGTTTTTTTAACATTTACTTTTGGCTTGACCAGCTAGCTAAAAGTTGGGGATTGTCTTTTTTTTCAAGTGAAAAGGAGAAAGGTGTGAAGCAAATATTTATTTAAAAGAATGCATAAAGCCCTGCTTTCCTAAGCCCAAGATGAATTAATGATAGAGCCATCTGTTTTCTCACAGTCATGGTTCTTTTTCAGCCAGTGTTGCAGACGTTGCAGTTGCTGTGTTTCTCAGCCTGTGTTTGTCCAGAATATAGTGGAGCATCTCTGTTCCTTGGAGCAGTTTTTGTATTACACCCAGGCCCACATGATGGGCAGCTGCTATCAACAGACGAGGTTATGCTCCTCTCTCCTCCCAGACACACTTCCTTTAACATTGGTTCTTGTCCAAGCTTGCAGCACACAATTGAAAGAATTATTTGCTGTTGTAGTAGGGCCAGGTGCAATTTTATATCAAACCTTGAGTGTAATCAGCGGTTTGCCACTGCCAAAAGAGGGAGGAGGCCTTACCTTGCACTGACTGTCCAATAAAACTTTCAGCTGATTCAGCTTGCTAAAATGCCTGAAGATTTTTGCGGGAAAAAGAATTTCCGTATAATTGAATGGATCCAATGAAATAATTTGGCAAGCGTCAGAACAAACACAAATGAATAGCGGGGTTTGAGGAAACGTATGGCTGGGGGAGATGAAAGAATGAGCACAACCTGCACTTACATTCTGGCAGTTGCAAATTGGCTGTTCAACTCAGCCACAGTGTGAAACTGAATTCATGGGAAGTTTTGCTTTTGTGCTTTGCTTAAGCAACTCACCATTGGATTAGATTGACATTTGATGCTGTGCCAGTTAGCCTTTGTACAGTGACTGGGGAGTGGGTGGGACTGTCCCTTTCATGGCCAGTGACAGTGTGATGTAAAAACATAGCATTACAAATGTTGTATATTTTTCTTGCTTGCTCCTGCCGCATCTATCCAAATAGTATTGAACAAATGTCCTCCATCTGAAGAGTTTGCATCCCCCAACAGCCTTTTTGCTGTTTTGAGAAAGGAGGGAGACGGTTGTCTCTTACAGGTGTCTTAAATGAAGAGTAATGATTACATTTCGAACTCCCTAAATTTCAGTTCCATTGGGATTTAGTTTGAACTGTTGACAATTATTTGCTCGTAAGAAGTAGGATTCGTTCCAGTTAAACTGATTTTCTTCCTGGCCAACTTAATAAATTCATCTGTGCGTCTGAGAGACAAACAGAAGTTGTTTGGGATTGCTGTCAAACTGGATATCCATGTGTATTAAAAAATAATAAAATAACAAAATGCCTGAAATTGAGGAGTTTCTTAAGAGTTAATGCACAGCCAAAAAAACAACTTCTGCTCCAAAGAAAGAGTGTGCAGTATGTGCCAAATAGAGCAAAAACTTAAAATTATATGGTCTAAGGAGACAAATCTTTTGAGCAAGAATACTAAAATTTTTTTCCCCCTCAGGCTATAAACCATTGATTCATATTTTTTAATCTATTTTTAAGACAACTTCTCACTCAAGTGACTAGCAGATTTATTAAATAAGGATGAATTTACGTAGATGATAGCATTTACCCAAGCATATATGGTATATTTAAAGTAACTGAAAAATCTTTCTTTAGATGAAAGTTTTGCTGTAAAGCACAACAAAGAATTTCTCCTTTCAATGGCCAACCGAGGGAAAGATACAAATGGTTCACAATTCTTTATGTAAGTATTGAAATGTGTGTGTGGTTTGCTATTTGTAAGCTGTAAAGGTAATCCTTTTAAATATTGAAGACTAGCTGCTATGCAAAGCCAAAGTTGATGGTGTTTCCTAATGTGCTGATTAGGGATCCTGACTGTTTTTTTCCCTTTTGTGTTTAGTGCTTACTGTCTGTGCAAAAGGGCTCTTGGTGGTTCTCAGTAGCTGTGTTCTAACTTGGCTAATAAAACAAACCTGTTAGTTCCTTGTAGAACTCTTATAACTTTAACTAATAACTGCTGTCTGGAAGGAAGCAAAACAGCTCTGGGGGCTTTCAAAAGTAGTAGAGGGCTTTTTTTTTGGTCATGAAATAACTTTCCAATATGATCTCATTTATAGTTAAAACTTAAATTCTTAAAATACATTGCAGTAGACTCTTCTTAAATATAAGTTACCTACAGAAAACATTCTCAAAATACATCACTCTTATCCATGTTTCATAGCTTTAGTTAATATAATGAGTTAAGGATGTCATCTACGATTTAACCCTTATTTTGGGATTTCTGTGTGATCATTACTGCAGTCATCTCAGTTTTCTACTCTGCCATGACTGATATCTGTATGCCTTAGTAATGCTAGTAGAGGGGAAAGCTGAGAAAAAGTTAGTCCTACTTCTGTGTCAAATAATCTGTACATACAAATATTTATTTTTTCCTGTGTTTTCTGATTATTTTCTGATGTATAGAAGGTTATTTGCAGTTTTCCTGCTGTGAGACAGGATTTTTGTATCTGTTCCTGGCAGTATTTATATAAGTTAATAAGTAGAAACTTGTTATATCCTATATGAGAATGCTGTGTAAAAATTTATGTGCAATTTTATGTTTTTTTCAGTAAAATGTTTAATCAAAATATTGAATAGGTAGTTTAATATATAAGACATTAAATACTTTTAACTGTGCACAGAATGATATATGTTTGTTTTGTTAAATGTTATTAATGCACTCAGAATAATGTTCACCTTCGTATGTGTAGATGACATGGCTTCAAATGCTGACTGCTTTTCACTGACACTGGCTTTGTTTTTCTCTTTTAAATTAAAATCTGGAAACAACAGAACAACTAAACCTACACCTCATTTAGATGGGTAAATATCTCTTTTCCTCTTCTTACATTTGTTTGGGAACTGCCTTGAGAAAATTAAGTACTAAGAGTTCTTATTTTTATTTAAATTCTTCAGACATCATGTTGTTTTTGGACAAGTCATCTCAGGTCAGGAAGTTGTGAGAGAAATAGAAAACCAGAAAACAGATGCATCTAGTAAACCATATGCTGAAGTCCGCATACTGAGCTGTGGAGAGTTAATTCCAAAATCCAAAGGTAAAGTTGAACTGTACATTTTTACAGATGCAAACTGAGAGGTAATTTTGCTTGTTTTCTTCCATGTTGGTTGCTTATAAAAATATTTAGACACTTACTTGTGATGGGTGTGGCAATTGGTGAAAAGGTAAATAACATTGCAGAGCAGTTTGTCCTTAAAAGTTGTTGATGCAAAAGAGACTAAAGAACAATCATATATGCTTTCTTCAAAGCTTCTCCTGTCTTAGATTTTTCTTATATTAGCTAAATTTTGGTACAAAGCTGGCAAGCTCTTGTCATAGCAAGTAGAGTGCTGTGTTAAGCATAATATTCTTTTTGGAAGGTGGTGAACTTGTTTCAGGTTTCTTTAAGGTAAATCTTCAAAACAGGCCCTTAGATTAGAAAAGTCTGGAATTGGCTCTTTAGCTCCTACACTTTGATTTACCATAAACTATATTCTTAAAGAGGAATATGACAGAACCTATCCTTCTTTCTGGATGGGATGGCCTGCTCTGCTGTTTCAGAACCAAACATGGTATGAGAGCTTGGATTGAGCCTTATTTTCTAAGAGAAGCAGAATCTAAGATGTTGCTGTCCCTGTGGGAGAATCTCTGTAGTGGAAACCCAGGATGCTTGCTTTGTAGGAACTATGATGGGGATCATCATGCTATTTCATTTGTAGCACCTTCTGTTGATACTGTGAAGGGTTGCACCAAGGATATTGAAGCACAACACAGGAATAATTGCTTGTTTGGTCTAAGGAACATGCAAGCATTCGAACTGGAGCTCCTTGGGTTTTCCCCTACGTTTTGATACAGTTCTGTGTTCATATGTGTGATATCTTACACAATGACTTTGGAGTCTGAAGTTACCTCATCAATACCTCAGAATTCCAAGCAAAGTTATATTATGGCTCCTGACTTCTCAAAGGTTCTAAGTCAGCCTGTGTGTGAGAACACAATTATGTTTTTTCTGGACAGTACTCAGGAGCATAGTATCTCTTGGGAAATGCACAGGTGGTGTAATTAGAAAATAAAACAGTACAGATATGGGATGGGTGAAGCTGGTGGATGAGATACACACTGTATATGTCTTGACTGGATTGCCACACTCCCTTTTTAGTCCAGTCTAGAACACTTGAATGACTAAATGGCACTGAGCAGTCTGATGACTTAAAGCCATTAGGCAGGGCTTTAAAGTACTCGTCATCAAAAGAGTGAATGAAATAAATACAAAAAAATGGTTTTTTCTCTTTTACTTCTCCTAAAAGAGAACGGGCTTCTGAAAGATCTGACAGTCTTACCCTACCCATTTGTCTGTGTCCTTGTATATCTGACTCAGTCCTGCTGCATTCCTGGCGACTGGTTCCTGTAGCTGGCCTGGTGTGCCATGGAGGGAAATTGATGCCAAGGTGATGGGATAGCCCACTCTGTAAGGCTCAGTATTAGGTAATGGTGGGCAGTAGGAGTGTTTGGAGAACAAGAAGCCTTAGGCACCAGGATCAGGCTGTTGGAGGGCAGAGCTGAGTGTGGGGTGAGACAAAGGCCCTGATGGGCACTAATGCAGAGCCAGCCTGGTGAAGATGCTGCATGACAGACCACGGTGGAAATCCTAGTGAATGGAGAATCCTGCTTATGAAAGGGAAAGACTGTGTGTAGGACCTGCAGCGGGAAATGAGCCACTACTGTGAGAGATGGAGTTGTTAGTTGAATGCACAGCATGGAACCACTGATAAGCTGTGCTGGCCTGGGGCAGCGGAAATAGGAGGAACAGTTTGAAACACATCAGCTGAAGTAAATTTGCCAAGCTGCTGTCCAAAGGTCACAAGTGGAAGAGGAGAGGCCCTCGGACTTGTCAGTGAATGGAGGTAGGCCAGGGAATCTCAATAGAAGGAGCCGTTTCTGGGACACAGTCAGTGTCATGGAACATGATTGACAGAGAGTCATCTAACAGTGGAACTGGTTTTAGTACAGTACTATGGGAGGCAGAAGGGAACGGATTCTGTGAAATATGAGGCAGTTACCAGGGGAGACTGCTTCTAAGAATTTGCTGTTAAAGGAATAAGGAGGTTGCCTGTGAGGGAACTATAACGATGAAATTTCTGTGGGAGGATACATTAGAATAGCAAGGGAGTCTTAAATATTTATTGCATGAACTTGTCTGGTAGGCAACACAAAGAAAGGAATTAGATGGTCTTTATGGAATTAAAATAGAACTGGTACTTGGATTTAACAGGAAAGCCAAGGTGGCACTAGCAGAAGGAATCACAGTAGAAGTTAGGTGCTTGGTATGAATGTTTTTCTCTTAGGTTAAAGTTGAGGAAAGGTGGTCTGATTTTTGGGTGTCACGATGAATAGCCAGGTGAAGTCCTTTACAAATGATGCAAATTGTCCTCTTGTATATAAGAGTTGGATTTATTTAGGGATAAGTGTATGATGACTGAGCTACCTTACTGGATGCTATGAATTGAATGGTACAGCAGTCACAACTACAATATTGCAGAGGCCTATATGAAGTTTTTACCTGGGATCTGAGAGGATGATCACCTAGAAAAGTAAAATGTTTTGTCATATTTTCCTTTGTTTTTCTTTTTTTTTTTTTAATTCCTTAAAGTTGGAAGAATTAGTGAAAATGAATGAGAGAAGTTAAATTATAAAAGAAGAATCTCTCTGGCCAAGTGGTATAATTTTTAGAAGATCTTCAAGTTCTAGGGAAAATCCTGAGATCTGGTTAGAGAAAAAAAAAAGGAAGAAAGTATTAACCCAGTATTTAGAAAGGTCGTTATGGACTAGCTAAGCTAATATATTTCACAGGAAAAACTGTGGACCAAAAAAGTAGTATTAATTTTCTTAAGGACAGGTGGGATTTTGATACCAGCTGACAAAGTTTTGCAGAAGAGGGCCTAGTTAACAAGCCTGACTGTACTGTTTGAGGTCATGACTTTTGGTTCGTCAAAGGTATATCTGACATGTTTTCAAGAATGTCAGGCACTGACATTCTGATTCAAAACTGAAAAAAAGGCTTTGTGCAGTGGGCTGTTTTTAACAAGAGCCTCTAATGAAGATTTCTCACAAGAAGTGATTTTCTAGGGGATTCTGCCCAGGGCAGTGCTAGGCTTGATTCATGATCTTTGTTGATGTCATAGAATCACTGCTTGTAGAAGTGTGCTTTTTGCAATTAAGGCAGATTGTGTCTGCATTCATAATTCATCAAGGAACAATACTGTAATTAGGTAATTCTATCAGTACGAAAGAAAGTATCAGTACAAATTATCAACCACTGATACAAAGTTACTCATTTTGGAATTATGAAATATCTTTGAAATAAGAACAGTCATAAAGTGCTGATTCTGGCAAGTCATGTCTTACCCGGACTTCTGATTTGCATATCCTCCCTTTCTCTTTACTTATCCTTTCAAACCCTTGAGCACTCATTTCTTCTGCAGGCTTGTCACACATCATTGTTAGCCCCCTTTGCACAAGCTGGTTGCTGTGAACAGTTGTTTCAGGCTTCTCTGTTCCAGATTTTTTTTTCACTAGTGAACTGGCTGCTAGGTACAAGCTGTGTTGACTGTTCCAAGTGAAGCTGGAGGTGGCTTTTTTTGGCTTTTTTTATTTCCCCTTCCTCTGCTGTTGCAGTGTGGTAGGTTGGTTATCTGCAAAGACATCTATTCCAGAGGCACTTGAGATACAGGATTCCTCACAGTGACCATGTCATCTGATCAGTAAGAATCAAGTGTGGTAGTGTTCCCTAATGCATACCTCTGAGGACTTGAATAATGTATATAATTTCATTGTGAGAAACAGTCGGTTCTCTAACAAGGAGTGAAAGATATAACAGAAATTCGTGTCAAATAATGAGGGCAAAATAGAAAAAAAGATCTGATACGCTGAACAGCAGGCAACTGAACACTGGAAAAAATTACCTGAGAAAATAACTGTCTAAATGTCCTGAAGTAAAGGCACCCTTTTTCTGAAGACTGCTGTGGTCCAGCACAGATTATTTGATTTGATATAAGGTAACTGTTTGGTTGTCACTGCTGTGAAGTACAAGATGACATGATTTGTTCTGACTTTTGTGCCTGAACCTGATTGTTTTCTGGCTAGGTAGTTTCTTAATTTCAGTTCACGGGGCTAATGTAAGACTTGCTACAGTCCCTAACAAGCTGAGGTGCAGAGAGTACTTGATTGTGTCATGCAGCATGATCATGTAATTCCCAAAGTCAGGCAAATGCTGAACATGACAGTGAATGGAGTAGGAAGTGATATATCTATTTCAGATGTGGTCATAAGTTGAAACCTGATCCTGAAGGTAATGAGCTGGAACAGTTGGACTGTAAACAGAAGTTTGTTTCTCGATGACCTTCATGCTGCAGGATTGGTCTTATTTGTTGTGATCTGTAATTGGCCGGCACCAGGTTGGTTCAGTAGTCAAAGCAACATTTGCTGCTGGACCAGATAGTTAGATGTCACCAGAAAGTATATCCAAACTCTCTTACTGGATACTCTGTCTTTGCTGTGTAAATAGTTCTGGGCTTTTTACTTTTGTTTGAGGTTTGGAGGGGTTTTTTGCCCTTGTCATTTCACTCCCTACCTGCCACATGATTTCCCAAATACATCTGATGTTATTTGCTGCATGTTAAGAAACACATATTTGTTGAGGTAGTTGCTCAGCCTCTATTTTTATGTATTACTTACTCATTTTAAAGTAGTAACTTTAACATACCTGAACTTGTTACAAGAATGCAGATAAAACTGTCACAGATAGTTTTTGACACACTTGAAACATAGGAAGGAGGGAGAAAATACAGGAAATCACTGCATTTATTAATGCTATATTCAGACATTTCTGAAATTGAGCTTGTTTTACCTGAAGGCATGTAGGAAACAGTATAATTTTCCTTTGAATGGGCCAAACCTGAAAGGTTTGAATAGACAAGAAACATTTCACTTTTATAATACTTTTTGTGGTTTTAGTTTTTAAAGGTCAGGTGAGATTTCTATTTTTGATGTGTTGTCACCCAGGCTGTGTGACACTAGGCTTCTTTGATTGAAATTAATTTGAAAAATGTTCAGTTTTCTTTTATAAATATGTACATATTACATTCTGTGAATGTATATATATTTAGACAATCTAAAACTGATATAACATATTACAGATAACTTTTTATTAAATATAGTGCTTTAATAAGGATGTTGAGCAAAACTTTGAGAAAAGACAGCAGTTATCTTGGTCTGGATCTACAAGAGAAGTAAGAAATATAATTAGATCTGTCTTTTGGAAGCATTTTGCAAGAAGCCCTAAAAACATCTGATGGGAACCAGCTGATTTCAATCAGCAAGCTGTCCTAAACTGGTAATACTACTTGCTAGTTTATACTGCACCCAGCAATGACCTGGAAAACTCATGTACTCTATGAAGTACAGAGGTTGTTTTTCAGTCGGTTGTCAGGCTTTTGTTGGTCTGTATCAAATGAGACTTGTGAATAAACACATAGAAAACACTATGTATAAGTCATACAGGTATGACTTGTCTGTGGTGCTAACCTGAAAACTGAATGAGATCTAGAGCAATGAGATTGAACTTCATCCACTCTGCCAGTGTGGGGATTCAGTAACATTAGAAGGTGGGGGAAAAAAGTATCCATAGAGAGTACGACCATAAAAAGAGAGTTTGAGATTGTTGAGATATGTACCACGTATCTGATGCAGTTACCTGAATTAAGCCCCTTGTTGTAATCCAGTTGTTTTATCTCAGCCAGTTCTTTTGGAAGTGGGTGTTCTGCATCACTGTGAAGAGGAAATCTTTCACCACTGTATGTATCACTGCATTTTGAATGTGAGACCTGACAGAATAAGATACTGAGCTCAATTCAATGAGTACTCAGTTTAGTCTGTGCCACTTATCTTCTATTTCAGAATTTCTCATTAGTGATTTGAATAGATTTTATATGAAGTCAGATTAAAGCTGAAGCCAAAGAAATTTTTTTATAAACACTTTGTAAATAAGTTTTAAATAATTTCTTGTATATAGCTTATGTTGTATAAAACATAATTGGAAAACTTATATGGTTCTATATATTCTTGATAGTAGAAATTTTACACTTAAAATTTCATAAATACAAATTTTGGAAATATGTTACATATTTCTAGACATACCCTTTATTGTACTTTGGAGAAAGTGTTTTCTCCATAATTTCAATTTAAATAATTTAATGAAGTAGTCTCATGGCACAATTCCAAGAAGCTGAGACAGGTAGTAGGTAAGTTGATTTTTCTGAGATTAGTTTAGAAGTGTTTGATATTAAAATATCTTTGCTATTCTTGTTTAAAGCCAAGAAAGAAGAAAAGAAGAGACACAAGTCATCTTCCTCATCCAGTGACTCTGAAAGTTCAAGTGATTCAGAATCATCATCTGATTCCTCATCGGATTCTGAGAGTGCTTCGGAAGAGAAATCTAAAAAACGAAAAAAGAAACACAAAAAAAATTCCAAGAAACATAAGAAAGAAAAGAAAAAGAGAAAGAAAAGCAAGAAAAGGTCAATATTGAGATCTTTTTGTTTTGTTACATATACACCATACAGTATCCTTTTCTTGTAACTACAGAATAGTATTCTGTAAACTAGCAAAGTAGGTTTTTGAAGTTTAAGACGCAGTCAGTTTTGATGTAGAAGCATAAATTTTCTGATATGATGGCAAAGGGTAGTTTTCCTTTCTATATGTGCTGCAGCTTGTAATGCAGTGAAGGAATGGACTAGACTTATTTGGCTTGAAACATTGCAGAAATGCTTGGTTTGAAATGGATGGTGATAGCTTGTTTCCCTAAATTCACTTCTGTACAATTCAGTTTAAATTATATGCAGTGGGACTTAAGAGACTGCAGTATGGACAAATAAAAGCAAAATTAAACATAAAATTAATAAATTAACATTCTTAACATTTCTTCTATTTGATATGCCAAAACTCTTGCAGTTTTGCTGGAAGATAATAAAACTTAGAAAGCACTCTTGCTTCTGATAATGTTCTTTTTAATCTGATAGTTTTGTTATAGTTCAGTGTGAGATACAAGTTGTGTTGGTGCAAGTCACATTTTTCTAAGCTAACAGTAAAATTTAAGAAATGGTCACTTAGAGCAATGCTGCCTAAACACTGTTTCTGTGGGCCTAAGCTCATTTCACTTAAGTTTGTAAACTGCTTGAAGTTACAATAGTCTGTAGACAGTTACATATGCTAGTGTAAAATCTGCATTTTACTCTTCTGATTGTGTTTTTAAAAGAAAAGAAATTAAACCAACAAAAAGAAGCTGTATCTCAATAGTAAATGTATATTCAGTGTTGCACCATTGAAATTCATAGATAAAAGATGTTAGTCAGAAATCTACTGCAGTTGTATATTTTGGAGCAAAGATATTATAGGGGAAAAAAAAGTTGCTTCTGAAATAGCTTTGTTTCTGAGATTCTTGTGGTATCCTTGTGTATTAAAAGAATTTCTGAATTATTTAAATAGAAAGGTCTTCCCTCGTCCACATAACTCAAATTATTACATATTTTTTATACAAAAATAAAGCTCTTCCAGTGAAAGTGAAGATGAAAACACTGAAGCACAGCCATTATCTACTGTCCGTCCTGAAGAAATTCCTCCTGTACCTGAAAACCGGTTCCTGATGAGGAAAAGTCCTCCTAAAGTAGATGACAAAGAAAAAGAGAGGAAAAGCAGAGAAAAGGAAAGAGAAAGGTAATATATCTGTTTTAAGTCTGATTATGTGCTGACGGTGGTCTGGTCACATTACTGTTTTAGAACTCTAATGTTGAATCTTTTCCCTGTTAAGCAGTTCCATGTTGTGAGCAGTGCTTGATGAAAAATGGATTTCTCCCTTTACTGGCAACTATTGTCTTTGTCCTAGAACAAAGGCTTAGTCTTTGAAAATGGTTTTAGTGAATAAAAAATTTATAATGACTGATTCAAGAAAAGCAAAGTAAAATTCATTGCAATTTCATTTAGAATTTATTGGAACTGTCCAATCTGAATCTATAATTTATTCTTCTTTCAAAAATGGGAAAACCTGGAAATTTTCTAAAATATTCTGTGATCACAAAATCTGAAGTTTACTGTGTGTTTATTACTGTCTACAGTAAAATAAAATTGTGCGTTTTCATTTAGTTTAATTTTCTGAAGAGATTTTAAAATTTTTCTGTTTCTTCTTTCTTATATCACTCTTTTTAAATTATTTTTAGTAATCTATCAAATTCCCAGTCAATGTACCAGAGGAGACTGTTAGTGACCAGATCTGGAAGGAAAATTAAAGGAAGAGGACCAAGGGTAAATCTTTACAATGTGTTCTCCAAAATTTAGAAGGTGGTAGCACGGCCTCACTGCTGGTGTTACATTAGGATAGTTGATTTAAAAAAAAGTGCAGCATAATTAATTTGGGGGCTGAGGCTTGAAGGAAGACAGGAAGGAAAATTAGATTAATTACCTGTTTGCATACTGAGTCTTTTTGAAGGAGGGGGTGATAGAAAAACTTAAGAACGCTTTATTTGCATTACTGTGGTATTCTTGGCATTAGGTCAAAAAGGATTCAAAAAGGGTTAGTAAACACAAAACCAGTACATCATCAGTGCCAGGAATGCAGGGAAGACTTCTTTTTGGCAGAGGGCAGCAGTCAGATTAGGTCTTCTAATATTGTGAAGTCATATGCTGTGTGCTGCTTGTATTAAATGTTTTTAGTAACTGAAGTCTCTATCCCTCAAATTTTTAGTAAAATCCTTAGAAATTTTGAAGTATTGTTTTTGTGTTGCTTGTCAAAGATAAGAATTTTAATTGTTGGAAAAGAGAGCTGCATTTGTGGTAATTAAAAGCAATAGAAAACCTCTCATCAAACTACAAAAATCCTGGAGTGGAAGTTACCTTAAAAATAGTTTTTGATCAGACATTTTGTATTTCTGCTTTAGCTGAACGTGAGATTTATTTGTCAGTAAGTTAGTAACTTGTCCGTGTAAACTTGGTATATACACATGAAGTGTCATGGCAGGCGCGATGTAGAACCGACCGCCAGGGATAACAATCTTGCTTAGGTATCGCAGCCTGTGGAATTCAAACTTACACACAATTTCCTCTCTTTGCCTTCAAGCGTTACCGGACGCCTTCCAGATCCAGGTCAAGAGATCGTTTCCGACGCAGTGAAACTCCTCCACATTGGAGGCAAGAAATGCAAAGAGCTCAAAGAATGAGAGTGTCTAGTGGAGAAAGATGGATAAAAGGGGACAAGTAAGATTATTTCTTTCTGGAATATATGCACTGAATTTTTTTTTTTTTATATTTAAAAGTAATACATATCATCTTGGATTTTCAGTTACAATTACTTTCAAAAAAACAGGGTGCTGACTTGGTTATCCCATTACTTAACTGTATCTGATTTTACTGATGCTACTGCTACTATAAATACATGGTTAGACCTGATGTGATTTAAGTTTCAGTTGTGAGGCTGTCTCACTTCTGATTTAATTTTTTCGGAGTGGAGGGGATTTAAAAAGCTTAAAAAACTTTATCTTTCTCTCTCCAAGGAGTGAAATAAATGAAACCAAGAAAGATAATCAAAAGAGCCCAGGAAGAGGAAGAGAGAGAAAAATATCAGACCACAGACAAGTTTCTGAAAGTCCAAGCCGAAGAGGGGAAAAAGAGAAGAAAAAAGATCACAAATCCAGCAGTAAAGACAGGGAGACAAGAAGGAATTCAGATAAAGATGATAAGCATAACAAAAGCAAGGCCAAGAAGAGAGCTAAATCTAGAAGCCATAGTAAAAGCCGAGAGAAATCAAAAAGTAAAGAAAGAGACTCCAAGCACAGTAGACATGATGAAAAGAGAATAAGATCAAGAAGCAAAGAGAGAGACCATGAGAAAGGCAGAGAAAAAGAAAAGCGCTATGATTCTAGAGGGAGAGATAAAGAAAGAAGTAGGAGCAAGGAGAGAAGTAAAAGGGCAGGCTCAAGAAGTAATGAACAAGAGCATAGGAAGAGCAGAGACAGGGAGAAACGTAAGTCAAGAAGCAAAGAGCGTGAGCATGCTAGAGGAAAACATAGTTCCAGCAGTAGAACAAGGGATCGAAGCAAAAGCCGAGATAGAGGTAGGAGAGGAAGATCAAGAAGCAGGGACAGGGATCGTAGTAGAAGTAAAGACTACTCAAGGAATAGAGATAGAGAAACAAGAAGAAGAGGAAGATCAAGAAGCAGAGAAAGGAGAGGTACACCAGATAGATACAGAGGAAGAGAAAACAGGAGGAGGAGAGACTCAAGGAGTTCAGAGAGGGATGAAAGTCAAAGCAGAAACAGAGATAGGTATTCAAATAGGGAAAGTAGAAGCTCATATAAGAGGAATGATAGTGAAAGCCAAAGGAAGAGGCGTTCAAAAAGCCGTGAAAGTAGTAGTCCTGAATCTAGCAAAGATAAGAAGTCTAGCAGAGATCAGGATAGAAGTCCAGACTCAAAAAAGAGACCAAGTAGCAAAGAGAGAGAATCAAAAAAGTCATATTCACGCAGCAGTAAAGAAAAGGAAAAGACCAGATCCTCAGCAGAAAAAGAAATAAACCAAAAATCAAAGAGTCAGGAAAGAGATAATGCCCCTAGTAAGGATAAAAAGTCTGATCATGAAACAAGTCCTGGAACAGATGACGACAGGCATGGATGAGTTTGTGGACTTAATGTTTCCATTGTCTCAAAGTTTTAGAGACATTTTGGGGAACGCCTTTTTTAAAGATGCAGACTTCAGTTTGGTCTTTTGATAATCTAAAACCTGGATCATTTGTACTGCTAAAGTTTTAATAAACTTGAAATGAAAAACAAATTATATGTGTAATACAGTGTGCTGTGTTTTAAGTACTTCATTGAATTTGTATCCTTATGTGTTGTCAGCTAGAAAGGTAACTTCTATGCCACATTTATTTTTTACCTGATGAACATAGTTCAGTGCAAGCAATGGCTGCCTGTGAAGAGGCTTGTTCCATATGTGAAGAAGAAAGCTGCAGATATACTACATGTCATCTTAAAGCTAGGAGACTGTTGCAAGGTGTCCATTACTCCAGTGTTGCTCCATCTGTATTTCAGTAGGTATAAATCCTAAGGAAATTTATTTATAGAGGTAAATTATGCTAGTTTTATTTTAATCACAAAGTGAATTAATTTAAGTAAATCTTCATTGTTTGTATTTCTGTCACTGCCAATAGTAGAATTCATTCATATTGTAAGGCAGTCATCTGTTTGGAAGTTATTTGCTTGTCCTAAAGAATATTTTTAAATGCTCATCAGTGTAACTTTCTTCCCTGTAACCTTTTTCTGTTCCATGCTTTCGTGTTTGTCTACTGCAGAAAATTCAGCTTGGAGGCTTCAGACTGCTCTGTCTCACTTGCTGACTAGTGGATCCACAGAGAGGAAACAGATTACCAGAATTTACAGTGGGTGTTAGAGTAAGGAATCAGGAAATCCTTTCAAATCTTGCTCCTCAAGTCTAAGACAAAACTATTGCTATTCTCCAGTATTGGTTTTTGGAGTAGTTGCAACAGAATTTCGAGTAATGTTTTAAGACAGGCTCTTAATATTTATTTTGTTTTTAAACTGAAATTTGCTTTCCTTCCAGTTTCCCTTCATTCTAAAGACCATACTGTGAATTCCGTCTCATTCTCTACTACGTGTGTTTGTCCCTCAAACCAATTCCCTCCCTTTTCTGCTTTCCTCTCCTGCCTGTGGGTCCCACCCCAGTTTCTATTTCACCACCAGGCCTTCATGTCAAAGAGAAAGAGTTTGGCTTGTGTTGCTGCAGGAGTGTCCCAGTGTGTGCATCCCCAAAGAGCAGCTGGTATGTGGTGACTTAACAAAGTGGGCCAACAGGAGGAGAGATTTGATACAAACACCAACACTCCTTCCAGTCCTTTGAACTATTCACACCAAAGGCTGGCAAATCTTTAAAGTCCTGAAGAGAAGTGACAAGCATTAATGTTAAGCTGTGTCAAAGCAAGACAATATTGTAATAGTTGAAATTTTTGCCAGATCTTTCACTGTGTGACATAACTTGTTTTTACTGTCTTTGTTATGAGCTTGTCAACATTTTCACTCTATAAGACAGTTTATGATCAGTGTGTAAACAGTCTATGTTTACAGCAGATTAGCTGAATTCAGCAGAATTGCTGAAACTTGGCTTTACATTGTGATCCAGCAGTTGTTACTCCAAAGGAAAAAAGTTATGTCTTGAAAGCAAAAGAAAACAGAGGATTATGAACAACTTAAGCAGCATTTTTAAAGGAAGAAAACTAGAAGTATATAGAGTTACTTTCTAGCAGAATAGTTAGTGGAGCTGCTTTGGCTATCAAGTGCTTTTTCCCCTATGTTTTAGTATGAATTTTGCATAGGAGTGATCATTTTATGCAGAATGTTTAAAAATGTTCCCAAGTCCACATGTGGTTGGATGATACAGCTGTTACTTAAGAGAACTTAGGAGTGAATCAAAGACCTGTATAGTGGACCTGTTCTGTCTGAACTTTGGAGGACTTTGGAGACGTTGTAGTCCTATTTTGGGGGACTGTAGTAAGAAAAAGGTAGGAAGTTAAGCTTCAGAAATTGTGTGGCAGCCTAAACAAAGCCTTCCTTGGTACATTTATACTGTGCTATGCATGCCATGCGCTTCAAGAGTCTCATTTAAAATCTGTTTGCAATGTTCTTTCGTTATTTTTAACGGAGCTGAGACACAAGCTGTTGCTGAAAAAGTATGTTTGCACTAATGAGAATATTCTTGCCAATACCACTAAAGCTCGTATAAGCATGCAAACAAAACAGTCTGCAACTATAATGACTGCCGTAGAAGGGAGGAAATGCAAGCAGTCAGCAATACAGCAATACATAGAAATTGTTAAAAAAACCCAAAACAACAGTCTTTAATTTAAAATCTCAAAATGGAGATTGCATCCAGTTATATCTTGCAGTTGTAACTAGTTATTTCAAAATATGCACTTCTGTACCCTTTCATGTGGACTTTTTTCTTTGTTACAATTCAGAAAATTATTTGTACAAATTAAAAGGAACTCTAATTCTTCCATAGCACTTTAAAAATTCATCTGAGTTGGTGGCACAAAGCTCATTTTCTTGTTTCTAATGTATGGTTTTTTTAAAAGCTGGTTACATTAAATGGCACATGGTGGGATACACTTGATCTTTTGATGAGTGCATACCTTGCCTGTATATCATATTTGATGGTAAATTGGTGTAGTGCTGATCACTTTGTTTAAACTGAAACACAACTGCAGTCTTGTACGAGGGAGAGTTTGCCAGATTCATGCATTTCTTTATCAAACCGGAAACTGAGAATGTCGATTAAAAATTTGATGGGACTGAAGCACAATCCCAGGGACAGCAAGATGTCTTCAAGCACCAGTCAGTTCTTGCTGCCAGGTGAGGACGCACTGACTTCTGCTCTTGCAGTCCTTGAGCTGTTCCCTCTTTCAATGGCAGAGCTTTCCTGTTCTCAGCCTCACAGTAACCACCTGGTGCTGTATCACAGTGTAGCTCAGTGCCTCAGAGAACTGATCTGGAAGTGTATTTTAAAGCAATATGTAAGTGTACCAGAGGGGGGTGGGGGGGAAAGCTCATGGTCTTTCCTTGTGAATGCAGAAAAAAGTAGTATTTGTAGAATACATTTTTTTCTGCTGTACCCCAGAACTCATCCTACTCCAGAGAATTTGTGAACCCTAAGACACAAGGTAAAACGAGGGCAAGGATAACTGGACTAGCTTTGTGAGCGTGTGTTTAGGTGTACATACAGGCTTGGAATAACTTCCAAAGGCTAGACATGCATTCTCTGTTGTACTGACAATAGATACTGACATTTTATTAATACCATACAGCCTATATATACATGGAATGCTGAAATTAGTATTGGCAGTAGCTCTACAAACTTTATCAAAAAGAGACTGTTTGATGCTGGAATTTCTGGGTACTGCCACCAACTCAGAGGCAGAAATTCTTACTGAGGAGGGTAGATAGAATTTAAGGTTGTGTAGACACTATTAACTGTAAAAAATGTGTTGCTGTCTGCTAATTCCTTAACACAGACACAGTGTTTCAGTTGTTGCCCTGTTTATTTGGGTTGGTTGTTATTTAGAAAGAAAAAAGGCAATGGTTACATTTTAACCCTTTGTTCTATCTGGCGGTTAGAATTTTAGCCTGAAACTTTGCACTTTGTACGTGAAATCCCACACTACAGGCTTTTATTGCAGTGTTCTTTGTCAGATGCCCTGAAGAATTTGCAGTGATCCCCTAACAAAGTCTGATTTGTAATAGTGTCAGTCTGGCAAGTGGATTTTAGATTAATGTAAACACAAACAAAGCAGTCCTTTAGCTGCCTTTTCTGGAACTGTTGATTTATTGACGCAAATAAAGTATTTTTGGACACAACTCTAGGGGCATAGTAGACTTATTGCTTTTCTGATAGACAAAAATGTATATTCCTGCTTTTAGGACTTTCCTTCTAATAGAAAATCTAAAGATATACATACTATACTTTATCAAAGCAGCAACCATGAAAGTCTTTTTGGGGGGTTGTTTGTTTTGTTTGGAGTTTTTGGGTTTTGTGGTTTTGGGGTGTTTTTTGTGGGTTTTATTGTTTTTTTCTTTTTGTTTGTTTGGTGGGGGGTTTTGTTGTGGTTGTTGTTGTTCAACTTAAACTGGAGGATACCAGTGATAAAATTAATCTTCACACTTTTAGAGTCAATGTAATGGAAATGTAAATAACTGTTACATGTACTTTCCTTCTTTTGCTGAAAATAGCAATTTTCCTAATGCAGTATTTAGCTAAATTATTAAAGAAAATGCATATCAAGAATCTGTGAACTCAGCATTTTGCAAAATTTTAATTTGGTACAGTTCTGTCATTACCTAGCATAAAACTAACCTTCCATTTTGACAGCATATGTACTTTTAGTATAATTCTTACTTCTTACTCTTGAAAAATTCATGTCATTAGCAACACTGTTCTAACAAAACTTTGTTGCACAAAACCCAACAGTAATCTTCACCTGCCTTTTTTTTTTTTAAGATATGTGAAAATGTTTTCCAGTTTTAGTATGAAATTTCACAAAAGGAACAGCAGTAAAAAATACAGTAAAAGTGATGAGTTTAGATAGCAAAACTACTTAAAAGTACATTTTGTTACAGAATTAAATTATTGTCTTTCCTTAATCGTAAAGTCATTGTTCAAATAAAACTAATAGGGCAGTTAACATGAGTATGTTCAGAAGAGAGATCTTCAACTGCTATATATGCGTATGATTAGTTTAATTAGTTTATATTTGTATTCACAGAAGTACTAACACGTTAAAAAGACTAAATAAACTGAATTAATGCAGCACTCTATCTCTGAATTTAAATTTTGCAACATGTAAAGCACTTAAGGAAACTTGCTATTTTTGGCAGAAAGTTAGACATTGCTACGTATATCCCCATTATAAAAAGAAGTCTGTGTGTGGCTTTAGCCATAGCTGCTAATGAAAAGAATGGTTGGAAGGATTGGAAAATTTAGAAATATTAATTTATGAACAGTGGTAGGAGGAACTAGGTGATAGCTGGGTTCCTTCAGCTAAAATAATTGTTGGTTATACTGGCAGTATTGTGCATGTAGCATTTATCAGAGTATTTTGTAATTATTCTTAGTCTTTTGTAATTTATACTCCCTAACAGGGAAGATGATCCAGTTGTCAGCTGGGAGAATGAGTTCTTGATACAAAATGTACAACTTGTGCACTAAAGTACTTCTCAGAAATAAATACTTTTTTGCATATTTGTTAGTGTATTCCATGTCTGCCACGTGTGCTTCTCGCAGTATTAGCATTTTCTGCATTTAGAGAAATACTCACTTCTAAGTCAAATGATGCAGCCTGTGCATGCAAATTCACAGAATATTCCGAGTTGGAAGGGACCCACAAGGATCATCGACCCAAGCAGGGATCAAACCTTGTCATTATTAGCACCATGCTGTAACCAGCTGAGCTGATCTCAGGCTAAATGTGCTTCTGAGAGTCCAGTCTCCAGTCTTTTGAGTGGCAGTACTGTTATACAGATTTACAGGCCATAGTGATTTGATGTCAGGACCTCTTCAGTTAAACCAAGATCTGTATGTTTTTACTGGAGGTGTGAAGTTAGATTTTTATTCCATGTTGAACTGGATGACAGTTTTAATAGTAGATGCAATTAAGAGTTTCTACTACAGAATGGCAAATGACAGTCTATTCACTATCTATATATTGTAACATATAAAAATGCAGCCATGCAGTGAAGCTAATCTTGTATCTGAATTGCAAACTTGCTTGTTGCCAGCTTTGATCTTGTACTTGCACAAATGCAAGTCTGTGTGCATGTGTGAAGCAGAATAGTTTTCAGTAGTTACAGAAGAACTGCTTGTTCAATGTGAATGTAAATGGAGTGGCAGAACAGCTTACAGTCAGTTTAGAACTGAGTGGAAGAACAACTTTTGATCAAAAAGTCACCTACAGGAGTATGTCAGCCTGGCAACCTGGCTAAGCTGAGAGCAGAGTGTTTAGGAGAAAGCAGGGAAGTGTTTTTCCCATGCCCAACAGTTAGGTTAGCTGGAGTGCTAGATACACGCAGTCTTACTGCAGACATTTCTTTCCCATAAAGGCTTAAAGACTCAGCCAATGCCACAACTTCTCAGGACAGTATTTCTACCTTCCAATACGTTCTCCTAAGTAAGTAGAAAATTGTCACAAATAAAAGACACAGTCAACATGGATGTTTTAAAACACAGATGTTTTAAACAGCTTACTCAATTTTATTGTTTGCTCAGTAAGATTTTTTTTTTTAGGCCAAAACGTAAGGTTTGAGTTAAGGCTGGAGGCCTAGCAATACTCTAGGAGTACAGTACTGATAGTTTACCTGTGGTTGTTACCTCTTGACTTCGTAAAAAGTGAATCTACTGCTTTGTTCCATAATAAAATTAGACTAGTTAAAGTACAGTTGTGAACTGTGGCACTTGTTTCTTGAGCTGAAGTTGAGTATAGGCAGGTTTTGGCAAACAGCATGTTTTGTAACTTGCTCCAGAGTTAGCTTCAGCTATTGGGCACTGATAGGTTTTGCAGGCACATAGAACTTGGAAGGAGAGAATGGCAAGCTTCCTTTTCCTTTGTAGATACTTAGATAGTAGTCAAATATATTTCTGAAGAAAAAAGAAAGAGAGTTTAGGCATATAATTAGTAGCTACTGTTAACTGTATGCACAGTGATAGATTGTAACTGAAACTAATGCAGTAATACTTGTCCTGTAAGCTTTACCAAAGATAGTCTAATTTTGCCCTTGTCCACTGTGCCAGTTGCTGGATTTCTACTGGTTTGCTCAGTAATGTTTGCTTCTTCCAGTACATGTTGCTTTTTTCTGACTTTTACCTATTTTCCTTTACATAGAAAAGGAGTGAGAACAGATGCTGCTCGTTTGAGGGGGGTAGTTACTATTATGTTAACAGAGATGCAATGCTGAATTTTGCCGGACCTGTGGTGCTGATGTTCAAGCCCTTCAGTACCTAACAGAGTTGTGCATTTCTCTGGATAATGTATTGGAGCTGAGGCAACCCACAGAGAAACGAAGTGCTATGTTGGTTTATGCAAAACAGCGTCAAAGAGCTACAAACAGCTGTGCTTTAGACTGCTTACTAGAGATTGGTTTAACAGATCAGAGGGCGGGCTTGAATCATTCTAGCTCTTAAAATCAAAGGCCATGATATACCAAAACAAAAAGAAGCTTAGTTTGTAGTGATGGCAGTGCAAGAGTGTAAAACTTAACACATTACAAGCTTAACAAAGCCTATGCCACAATTTCACTTATTTTAAACAGAAAGGAATTAAGATAATTCCAAAGAAGACATCTCACGTAGTCTTGTCACACCTCTGGCCTTCAACTCCCTCTGAAATCTTAGCCTTCAGTGATGAGGGGTTTTTTGAGTGCTATTTATAAGTAGTGAATTTTCCTTCTCTCAAAAATGCACTGCCAGAACAAGAAGGAAGATTTACCATCAGAGATCGGGATGCACTGCCAAG